TTAGAAACCTTATGAATATTTTACTCGGTACTGTTGAATTGCTTCTTCTTTAATTGTTCTAATTAATGTTTAGCAAATCTGCTAGAATATAGATCGTTCGCGATACGGTTGATTTACGCTCCTGTTTATCTATATTAAACCTACTCAGGTCAATACTGTCCACTCATCCGATTAAGCAATCGCCTATCAGCTAACAACAGAACCACAAGGGATGTTTATTATAGGTTCTCACACACACACACACGCACATATGTACACGGGCAAAACAACGCGCTCACACGACCTAAAAGTTGGTATACAATCAATCGTATAGTAGCCCACATTAAACCCGCCTTCACAGGAACGTCTAGTTTGTACAGGCGAGTCAGCCTATTTAGGTTACATAGTTGGGGGTTAGATTCGCTGAAGCAACATCACAATCGTGGCAATCAGCGTAAGCAGGCAGCAATTGCCAAGTTATCTCCAGAAGCCACATAATCTCCCCTTCCCATTGCTCTGCACCGCACATCCACCTATACAGCCCACGCATCCATACTACACTATGCCATACTAACTATATCAAAACTATCACAGCAACTTCCACTTTTGCATCTGTCCTCTCGCTTCGACCTGTTCACTCGTCGAACCTCCAGTTCTATCAACCACATCTGTAGCATCTGAGCATGGATCGTTCGGTAGAGGATAGCGTCTAGTAGGATGACGTAAATGAGTGCCGTTTGCGTAGAATGACTTAATAGTAACGTGACGTAAAAATAAGAATCAATTAAAATGACGGCAAAAGTCGATATCTGCTGAGTGATAAATATCGAGTACGTTTGGTGTATGGACGGGTGCGAAGGTATGCTATTGCGCAAATTTTGTCTATGTACGTAAAGACAATAGGCACGGTGTGTGGAGTATTTGTACACGAATGACATTTGTTTGCTTCTATTTAGTACTATGTGACGCGCGTGCGTCTCATTGTCAATCTCTGCATGTCGCTATGTATGACCGCGCACATTATATACAATGCACACGATCAGTTTTATGGGCTTTTTCCCTCTCTTTCTCCGTTTTCGTTCGTGTTGCAGTTCGGTATGACTCGCTTTCTTTGGTGTCCTGCTCGTGGGCCCGACCCCCCTGACACCTTGGATCGGCCCAGTCAGTCGAAGTCCCACCGAATGATCATCTGTAATGTGTAATGTAATACCGGCACCGATACCAGCTTCACAGGAGAGACTATTGAGGTCGTGTCGCCTGCCAGTACTGCCACCCGCGCGCGAAACCCGACTCCAGCTCAATGAGAACTTATGGCTGCGCTGCGGTAGACCGTGCAGCCCACAACAAGCGCGCCAGTGGTCCTATATGCGTACGGGAGCATATCAAGGTGCCCTTGTGGTTGCGAAACTGCATCGGCTGGTAAAGGACTCTAGCGGGAATCAGCCAGAAAGAGAAGAACGGACAGAGCAAACTATGGCTTCTCCTTTGCATCGCCGTCCTTTACTTCTGCGTCGAACTCTGGCTGTAGAGAGGACAGCGAATGGAGTCGAGCACGAAGACCAAAGCAAAGTCGATTGATATAGTGGGAGCACTCACTCACGCGACCAGGGCAGTTGTTCTTGCCGCCGCCGCTGCTGCTGCTGTTGGCATTATACTCAATGATCATCATGACGATACTCGCGCATTTCGGATGGAGTGAAAAAAAAGAATGCAAGCGTGAGAGAGGGATACATACCGCTTTGGATCGCCGAGGACTCTGCTGCTCTGTGGCGCGAGAACGGGGCAGCCCACAACGGCCGTTTTTATTGACGACAACGCCGTCGCCTCCCTTATGGTGGCCCTGATAGCTGCCTCACGCCGAATCCACAGCTTGCGCCGAAGCAATCCAAGCGGCTAAGTGTGCACCGATACTCTCTTCGTGGCATACTGTCAGCCTCGACAGGCTTCCCCTTCGTCCTCAAAAGCACCTACCCCCGCCCAAAGAGTTTTTCCTCCCTTCAACAACCCTCATATCATTTACCAGCCTCAACGCACTGCGAACCCCTCACTCTTGCCGGCCAGCTCGTACATTTGTATGTGCCGATGCTGCCGAAGGCGGGTCAGACGTAATTCACTTGAGTCTATAAATGGTCCTTGCCAATAAATGCATTCGAGCCTAACGAAGGTAAACTGGTACAGCTATATCGGTCGAATTACAGTAATAACAAGGGCGGTTGAGGGTTGAAGCAGCGAATAGGTGGGAGGGAAAGACAATGCAACAAATCAATTTAAAGATGTGTCGTTCTCACTGTTACTAGCAGCATAAAACCTATCAAGAGACATTGTGGCACTGTTTGACTGGTGCAGCGATCCTAATGTGATCTTCTTCGATCAACTAAAGCAGCGCGTTAATGAAGCATCAAACGAATACAAGACTGTTTACGTTCCTCATAAGGCTTTGGGCCATCTTGCCTTTTGCGAAACTCACCCTAGCTCCCTGCAGGTATAGTGATTTTTTAGCTTTGCATGATAGTTGATTAAGGGGATACTACGAATATTTGATGGGATTTTTCGCTTGTTCTGCGCTAAACATATTCGGTAAAAAAAAAAAATACAAGAATTCGTTCGAGAACAAAAATGCTCCCCTTCGAAACCATCTTTTCAGATTTCAGGGAAAGCTTGCTGCTAGCGGTACCTTTAAATTGTGTAACCTAACTTTTCACGGGCCTTAACATGTGCTATACGTTGGATGTCATGGATGAGTCCTTAAAGCAGCTATTCGGAAAACAACGCTTTGGATATTCATATTAAACGTTCATTTTCAGTCAAATGATCAGATCGTCATATATATATATATATATATATATTCAAGCTATATTAACTATTGTAAGCTGTACATAAAGAAAAGACGAGAAACTGGACCGCCTGATATGGCAGGATGTTCTCATTAAGTAAGCTGAGTTTACAGGTTATGTAAGTACTTCGTTCGTTTTGCTTGCTTGTTGAAAGACGGTACGCACCAAATTGCATTCATCAGAGTAATTTTTCCCCTGAAAAATTCAAACTATTTATTTTCGTCCTGTAAAGACGTTAGGCTTTTACGTGCCTCTATGACGTAATCGATGAAACGGTACTAACGTTATTTAGGGGTATATGCCCCAGATCGGTGCTCCGCTGTTCATCGCTCAACTACTGCTTTCCAGAAATCGCTAAATACCACCATTGGTGTCTACGCGTAAGCTATTGAAGTGTACTTATGCTCGCAGAGGAAGTAGCTTGTCATCTTCTTGCAGGAGAGGTCATATGATTCTGTGCTCAGGAGTGGATATCGCCCGGGAACGAGGATAACGACAAGCTGGAGGAGACGAGACTCCCCTGTCTTTGTTCAGAGGTGGCCGAGTTACTTCATGCTGGCTCATACTTCATTCCTGATGCATGCGCATGAATGGCACATGCTAGCGTCTAGCACAACGAGTAGTCATACCTCGGCCAATACGGTTGGTCGCCGAGCAGAGGCTGGAAGACATCCTCGGATCGCTGCTGGGACAGGCCAAGCCACCAAGAACTGTGGCCGGGCTGGAGACGCAGCCGGTGCCAACTAACTCCTGGATCACGTGGCATTGTATATCTTTCACACGGTTAGGACACCCGATACCGAGCGAACCCCCCGAAAGGACAGTGAAGGGAGATCCTTCGCCATAGATTTAAGAAGGGGGTGCCGCGAAGATGCTTGCGTGAGTAAGAAACATTTCAACTTGGATGGTAATAACAACTATGCCATTGGTTTGACTACCCGATATAACGCTAGTTAAAGGTGTTTAAAGTTTTAACCAAGTCAGCTTAGTGCTGATTTACAATATAATTCAATTGATAGTATCGTAACTGCCGATTACTTTGCTATGGAGTCGTTTATGAAAATTGTGGGTTTTACTTGGAAATGTGCAATTCTGTCTTCAATGTGCAGATTCTTCGAAGTCGATTTTTTGAAGAACTGTATTAAACATTTTCTTTCAGTTGAAAATTCGGTTTGCCGAACAAAAAAAGAAAAAAATGGAAATTTAAACACGGTGCACATATTAAATGACAAGACCGGGCTGGTTAGGGATATAAGCCCACCTGGCAATCATTGTGATCCTAATTACCCAGCCCAGATGGCCATCATCAGCGACAATTCATATATTTTTTTCTGTACTACAGCCAATGAATTTCTCAGCCTCAAATTGAGCGTACCTATGTTAAGCCTATTGTCGGTTTTCCATACAGCTGTTTTTTAATGATGAGTGCTGGTCTGTGATGTGTAGGCATGGGCATAAACCGGTCACTCCCTTTCAAGCCATCGTAGTGCTAATGAGGAATGCTTCTGGCGGAGACTTCGAGGTTGTAGTTTCGAGGCCGCCGCCGCCGCCGCCGTCGCCGCCGAACGAGAGCCGAGACGCGAGAGATCCTGTGTGAAGCTGCAGTAGGGCTAACTGGCCGATGCCAGCCACAGCGGCAATAAAAGTTTGGAAGAGGTAGCCGCGCCGGCAAAGTCACCTATGCGAAACCGCGCATAGCGCACTTCCCTGCTCCTACGACCGGCACGCTCATAGACACTTCGTAGATCCTCTCACTTCTACAAAGACAGTGAGAGACACGCACAGTCGATCCCTCTTTTTCACGCCTTATCATCCTGTCTAATAGGAGACCGTTATTGCTGTTGTCTCACCTTTCCCGCTTGCAGAAAGACATTATATATGTGGTCTTCTGTAGGGTTAGTATGTGGGGTGCTGTCTGTTAGCTGTTGATGTTGCGGCCCCGTTTGGGTAGCAATGGTGCGAGTTTGGCTTGGTCGGTGTGTGCGAAGGAAGCGAACCGTTAAAGGAGCAACGCACAAGTCAAAGCAAGCCATTGCTGATCGCCCTGTTTGCGCGCGAGCAAACGAATAATCACACGCATCATTGGACAACATCGGACGCCACAGAGCGGCCATAGCGGTATGCTGACACCATCGTGGTCGTGCCGTAGCACTCGTCATTTCAATACGATATCACTAACTGGCCGTTAGTGCACTATATACACACCAATATATATTGGTGTGTATATAGTGCACTAGTATATATATGTATATTTGCTGTTTTGTGTTTACTTCATGTAACAGCCTACGTGCTAGCATAGCACATATACGTTAGAAGACAACGCGTAGTGATGGCAAAAGAGGAACATTCTACGATAGCATAAGTATGTATTTGAAGAGAATGTCTGTTTATGAACAATCGCAGACACATGCATGCCGAATGTAGCGTATCTGTATTAGTGAAGATGTTACGAAATTGAATAGGATCAGCGAAGACTCGCAACGGCATGATTTCGAACCGATCTTAAAACGCTGACTATCGATGCCACTGTGCATAGGTTCGATCAAATGCTCTCCCGCTCACCTCGATTGGCTAATATAGAGAAAAAATGGGGCCGCTACGACACGTTTATTCCATATTGGCTTGTTAGAGCAATCTATGAGGTTCCCTCCCTACAACATTTATATAGAATTTAAATTGGATAACTAGTTACGTACTCAAATTGTGTCTACATTGAAGTGATCGTCTAGGAATATCAACAACCGTTCCAGCAATATCTTTCAACTATTTATTCATACATATATTGGGTACAATGGTTTCAAAAAAAATTACAACAATCAATCGTACGATTGGTAGGCGATTGGAGCATAAAACGAATATCGACCAGGTACCCCCCGCACCTCGCATGGAGTCGGCGCTTGTGTGTACTTCAAAAATCACCATTAAAAGATTCGACATTACTGCTGTGAGGAACCTCTGCCAGGCACACCTCTTTTTGTACTTTGATTTTTTCAGACATTCAATCAGACGACTGGCTCACAACACGAAAAAAGTACGCCTATGCCTGGATTCGAATCGAGACTGCAAAGTGTTCCTAAAATTAGCACTCCGCTACGCTACCCACGAAGCTATGGCTGAGAGCATGAGAAGTAATTTTGTTGACTTCCGGTTAACGGGAAGCTGACCACGAAGTAAATAACAGTTGAAGTAAGCATCCTTTTCTGTTATGAAGAAAGCATCGATGGACGCTGCCCTAGAACCTCGAACACTTATGCGGGTCTCTTTAGCCGATTAACCAAATATCGATTTTTGTCCTATCTTCTGGCTGTGAAACCACAGTTCATTACTTTTTTTGATGTGCCCTCTCAAATTAAAATGATGCCAGCTAGAACTGATATTAACTGAATGGTAACATTTTTTGTTCAGCAACTCTTACGTGAGAATTTAAAGGCACAGAGTTATCTGCGAATTCTTATGACAAAAAAGAAAGTATACACTTTTCTTATTATGTGCTAAATATGTCGATAGCTACATGATATTTCGTCTCCAACTTCTGGGTTAACAATCCGTCCGGGAATGTTCCGCATACAAACAAGTAAGGCGTATAGCGCCTCAACTATACGATACAGGGGGTATGTAGGCTGCGTCTGGATTTACCATAAATGATACTGCAGTCTTGGTTGTAGGAACGCGTTTACTGCCGAGTAACTTTTAGTTTCCCTACTTTTGATCAAACCGTAACTGTCTCATTGCGAGCTCAGAGATCGCAAGCGAGATTTGAAATAAGCGGTTCACTAAACAGTGAGTAGTATACAAAATGTAGCCATGATTTCAAATGACCATTCGACTTAGGCCTATTTCTTTGACCTATGGCAAAAAAAATAGCGAAAAACAGGTGATGATGTAGTCGCCAGCCGCCCCATCTATGTGACATATATTACTACATGTGGTTCTAAAACTGGTCATGTTATGCGAATATTGACTCTTCTAAATATTTCAGCTTATTTGTAAAAATGGCCGCTTAGATGCCGCATTGGATCTAGCATGACCGGTTTCTTTTCTGTGGTCGCCGTTGCCGCGGGTGATATGAGTTCTCGAATACGATGCTGATGTCATGATATTTCTAATGCTTACAGTGCTGGTCAGTAAGGAAGCGGTAAAGCGACGGCAGATGGTACAGCAGATATAGACTGAGACAGAATTGGCCAATCTGACGGACGTACTAGACCACGAGGAGATGCGAGCGCTTACTCAATCTAAAAACCGGAAATGCGGCCGGAAGTGGACAAGCCTGGTACAAATTTCCTCCGTATACCTACCTTAGAAAACTCCGCTTCTGCGATCTCAACATTTGTTGGATGGCTGCTCTCTGACTGTACTTAGGTCCACAGTTCATAAAGCTCATTGTATGTGTACTAGCCCGGAGCGTAAACCAACTTCAAAACTCCTCGCCAACTTATTCGCGTTGACTACGCATAACTGCGGGAACTGGCGTTAAAGCCTAAAAACCAGACAGTAGAACTGAGTCCGTACCAGGCTTCTGTAAATAAACATCCGTAAAATTCGAACGTATTTTTCCCTAACCTAAGTTTAGTGGCAGTGATTTTTTTTATAGGCCCGGTTAATTTGCAAGTTCTTTTCAGACGTTTAGTCGGACGAACTCTTTGCAACGGCTTAAAAGTGATAAAAATTTCATGTGACGTCGTTTAGACGAGTTCCTAACTTTCTGTCCCCTTTTCTCTTGCTGCAATAGAGGTCGGAGTGACGCATCGTGGTAGACTCCCTTTATGGTCATCCTTCAAAAGGACCTCAGTTGCGAGTGCCTTATACAAGACCAATGCAGACTTCAGCGCTGTTGTGTGGCGAGCAGCACTACTGAGTCACCAATCAAGCAGAATCATCTTTAGCATATTTACTGCTTCATGATATATGCGCCATAAAGATTGAAGATTTGCCCATTTTACGGTAAGATAAGTGATTCAAAAACAAAATCGTCTCAGTGGGGTGAGATCAAATCGCAATAGAGATCAGGCGCAATTCGCGCCGCCAGTCGATCGCTGAAGAATCCATTTATTCTGTAAAGGCGCACTCTGCAGGACACTGGCGTGGCTCCTGTGGGGCAACAGATCTACACATCCCTGACGGACTGCGTATCTGAATTGATCAAATGCCTCGAGAAGTGAGACACAATGCTCAAGTGATTCGCCTATATAGAAGACACCATCAATTCTCCTATTTTCCTCGGAACTCGCACGGTAACATTTAATTGATTTAAGGTAATTATACAATGTATAAGATATATATATATATATATATATATATATATATATATATATATATATATATATAACACTTTAGGTACAAGCTTTAATTATTCCACACGCTGCAGACAGTTTGCTTGCAGCCATACCATCAATGTGAGCAGCGGCTTATAGTAATAGGATTGCGCACGCATAATCACATTTGAATGTCAAGGACCGTAAAGTGTTACGACCTTGTGGGTGGGATGCAAAGCAAATTAATAACTTAATTAGTCGAAAATAATAACAGAGCAGCCCAGAACCTTGGAAGTATATAAAATTTAAAGAAAAAAAACTTTTTTTTGTAATAAGTTGAGCTCGACCTAGATGTGCTCACCTTCGATGAGACTTTTCGGTTCAAATTTGGTCTCAACGATGTTGTGGCCTGTTCGTATACAAATGCACACTATAAAATCAATCGATAATTAAAGTAATTTCTTTTCACGCTATGGCTACCCTTACCGTAGCTTGTATTAATCAGCGCGTTTCATATAGACAAGACACTCTCTCAGCCCAAACTATAAACACTTGAAGGCTACAGGTTGAATAACATATTAGCTGACACGATCATGTAAAAACGTTTCACTCGCTTCGGGGAAACAGTTAATTAAATGCTAGTTACTTCGCACATTGATTTTATCCCAAATCTTTCCTGCAGCTAAAACCCGCTCCGCTCCCGTATTTCCCTTTTTTTTGAAAGTTAAAGTAATTTGTCTAGCTGACAGCAATATTTGTGGCCCGAATGTAGAACGCGATCAATCTTTGCTGACTCGTTATGCTCCAAAAGACTCTCGCCTAGGAGCTCATATTCTCTGCTCTGCCACACAGCACCCACGGCATCCAAACCTTTCCTAGTTCCCGATCGCGCCCCCTTTTTACCCTCAGTCCCCCTCCAGCGCGACGTCGTATTATGCAGCAGCGATTTAGTCTGGGGTACTAGAGGAGTACTGTTGCCGACTCACCTCTCACACACGGTTGTGCGTCGTCCATTTCGCTAGGCCAGAGCAAAAGCAGAGATCTCCCTCGTTCATCCTGCAGGCCAGCTTACGGTAGACCGCAACGTCATCACGTGTTTACGAAAAAAGCCAAAGCAGCGTTGCCGTCCCGTTACATGATCTCCTTCTCTCTTTCTTTGCTGACTTCGCCCCTCGCCGTCATCGCCGTCGTCGGTTCTTGCCTTTTCAGCTTAGGCAACGAATTCACTCGCCAGCTCCTCGTCGTACTTTTCCGTGCTTCGCTATTGGCTACCGCCGCTACTACTGTACCATATGCTCGGTAACCAACTAGTGCATACATAGACGATTCATCTAACCCTACATGGGCGCTTTCGAAGCGCCTCAAAGCAGGGTGGCCGTATCACGAGTTTTGGCCGCACGCCCCGCTCTTCGGCTGCCCCCGTGCAATGAGCAGCTAGCAGTCAGACTGGTTCGGCCGTGCAGGCAGTGTCAATGCGTGAAACCGTGTATAAATGCATACCTCGTTCACGCCCCCAGCGAATGAGGGGTGACGAGAGGAGCTGAACCAGAGCATGAGGAGCTCAGGTAGGTAAACATGATGCCGAACACATCGTCATTGCTCATTTGCAATATATTGCAGCAGCTGGTGTACAGTCATCTAGCTAGCACACATCTTTAGCTTCCCAGACATGTATATCAAACGGCCAGGAAGGTGCGAACATACGGTACACGCGTACTAGCTTGTCTTTGTATATGAAACGGGTTCTTGTCAATGCAAAAGGCCATGTCAATACTCAGTCAACCCAAACACACAAAGCAGGAACTGGAGCAGCTTTACCATTGTCAATGTGACGACGAAACACAGCGATCGTAATACGTACCGTGCCATAGATTTCTTCTTTCTCATTTAATTTCAAATTCAAAGTATTGATATGGTGGCGAACGGGGCTACGCTCGCTTTGGAGAGGTTCCAAAGACTGGGTTTGATAATAATCATTAAGTTAAACAAAAGAAAGGAATGCACGAGAAAATAACTTGCTTACTACCACATGTTGTAGGTGCGTAAACTTTTTCAGAGACCTTATATGCTCAACCACCTTAAATTTTAAATTTTTAATTAAAATTTGCGAAAACCCAACAAGGGCATAAATGCATTGTGGATTTGTAACGATCCATCATCAACGCCTTTAGTAGTCAGTGAAAGCCCGGGATCTCACAAACAAATTGTTTGTTATATTTAATATTTGAAGTAACACGGATTGGAAAAAAGATCCCGCGTGAGTGTTTTTACTTGTATATTTAGTTCGTCAACTAAATCTAAACAAACGACCAATAGAACTGTAAAATTGTTTTCACTAATCATTTTTGCAGCGTAAAGACAAACTATGCAATGTTCGACCTCATACACAAAATACAACAACAGGAAACCAAAGACAATGACGTTAGTCGTTTCTAGTTAATTTTTTACCTAATATCTGCCCCGCTCGTGCCCCTATGCGCAGGCTTATTGGCATCCGTTTAGCCAGAACTCAATAGCAAATACCAAACTATATATTTAACTAACTATATATAGATATATATGAACCAAGTATAAATGTATCCCTATAAAAATGAATAGACTTAGACGAAGTTGATTTCTACCCTATTCCAGGGGGCGAAAAGACGAATATAGATTATCGCCGTTGAATTCGTATGCCACTTGCTTCGTCCGCTACGCAATATGTACTGACGCATCACTGGCGCAATGTACAGCGTCAGCAGCGGCATCAAAAGCAGTCAACTTCAATTGGTGAGCTGCGATCAAAGAACAAGGTTGCGTAGGTGGTTCATATTTATGGAAATTCTTTCCCTAGTTGGCCTCTCTCTCGGCATCCCGCACGTTTCTCAAATCGTGGAGGTGGCATAATCCCCATGGTTTCTCCTTTCCAGCCTCGTGATTCGAGGCCAAACGCCAGACGGCGACAAGTGAGTGAGTGGGTGGACGTGGGAGGCGAATGAAAACCAGGCGTGTAAACCGCAGAGCTGTTGCCACCTCTGAAAGGGTTCCCTAACCCCTGCAGACACAGAAGCCGTTGGCAAAATCGTCCTCGAAAATCGCTAGCTGCAACCTCGAAAGAACAGGAAGCGTGATGCGACTGAGTAAAACCCGCGCCTCGTTCGACGGCATTTACTTACCATCGCGCCGCCAGTTGGCATTTGCTCGTTGAAAAATGGGAAACAATTTGTTGTGCTGCTGAGGAGCAGACGATGATGCTTCGATTGAGAAGCAGCGGCTCCGCAACCACGCACGAAAATGGGCCACACGCGCACTTCGATACCTCGCTTCGTTCGCCTTGCCCTGCCTCTCCCCCGAAAGTAAATATAACGCAGAGCGCAACTTACTCATCGCCGAAGACCCCGGTACGACTGTACAACTCAGAACTTCACGCTACGAAGTCAACTATTTACCGCCGTTCCAGTCAAGCGTGCCTTATATGTATGTAGTAGGCCATACATTTTGCGCATCACATATATATGCGCATCTACAGCGACGACGCGCACCTGTTTCACCGAGCCATGTCACACGTTGAACGGCCTGGACAACATGCGAATATATACTGACAAATCTGCGAACACTCAGCGGATAGAAATATATAGGGTCAAGCTTATTTGTTATGATCATAAACACACATCAAAGACAACCAACCGTTCAACTTTAAAGCTCAATGATGAACAAAGCTGTGAAGTAACTTTGTTTGAACATGACATGTCCTGTACTAATTATTATGCGAAATATAAAAACACCCGGAACATATATGTCGTATATGAAGTATGTCCACAGACTGAACATACATGAAAGAGACGTATTACTCACTTCAAGGGTAATCTGGCCTTTACACATTAATTTCTATGAGCAGGTAAAAGCGCACGATTTAGCAGCATGCATTGGGCGTATAAATAGTATCGACGATTCAACAGATAATAGGCCTTTCGTAAGCTCATCCGTGTTGTCTGATACCGGACTGCATAAAATTGTACTGGTTTAATCCTCGCTACATAGTGAACACAATATCAAATAAGTGATATGGTACTTGGCAGATGCGCATGCACTTTTATTTGTAGCAGTTATCAACTGCCATATAATTGTTAGATAATCTTCTCTAGCTTCTCGAAGTCGCGCTTTAAGTATACCGCTTCGGACTTAATCGAGCTAGGACAAATAGGTCGAAATCTGATTCACAATCAGATCCTTCTCGACATTCCTCGCCAGTCGTTGGCCTGTTCACCAATAACTATCTCATGCACCCTGTTCTCATGTCCTGTTATTATTCTACCGCTAGTCGTCGCTGTCGTTTGCGCTAGCTCATCCAGCGCGCCTTGCGTAGTCGTAGTCTCTACGAACGCCATCGTCAACCTCTGTGGTTATGTCTGAACGCCCTCGCTCCTGCCCGCGGGCGCAGATGCGATAGACAGCCGTGATGACATGCCCCACTCTTGCCCTACTGCGCTGCTGGTTTCTCAATCACGGGTCTCGGTTCCACAGCCTCACCAGGTAGTGCCATCTCTCCTCCCCTGCCCCAAATGAATGCAAGCTGTATATCTACTGTGCACTGGGTCTCGATAGCGAAACATACAAAAGCAGCGGCAGGAGCTGCAGCAACAGCTTCTAGTTGCGAAAGCTAAGGAGAAGTGATTCTGGGTTAGGCTGCAGAAGGGGTAGATGCTTAGCGAGGCAGAAATAGTCGGTCGACGCTGAAGAAGGGTCTACGTCGTTTAGCCAGGGCCGTTGCAGTTGGTAAGCTCGGAACTGAAGCGCGAACGTATTGTCTGTCGAGTAATATTGGCACTTTTTGTCAATGCAGAAACCGGCTACGCCTGTACTGACGCTGATGCCGTAACGAGAGATGAACGCATCCATCAGGGAATGGCGCATCTGTGGCCGAAGCTGCTGCCAAACTCCACGGTTGGTATTGGGGCAGTTAGATCCGAGATTGCGCCCGTGCGCTCGATTTGAGGGTGCAGCAAGCTGAGGAAAGAGGTGAAACATTGCGGTGGAGCAAACGCCCTATCTACTGGGCTCAACGTTATGAGTTGAGTGATATGAGCTTTTTTTGTTACAGGAAACAACTTCCCTACGCTTCGTGACATTCAAGTATTGGCTTCTATCAAACAATCTCGAAATACGGATCCTTGCATGAGTTCACCACTTACTTGTAAACGTCCGCTTCTTATGATGGTTTAGTGGTAAGGCACTCTACTTAGTGGTGGAGATCCTTAGACTTATACTTGAAAGGCAAAGTCTCAGAATATGAAAGGCCAGCGCAAATTAATCCCAGCTCTGTGACGTAAATTATCACTTTAAAGTATAAGTTGACTTCTCAGAAAAATCGGATTGTTTATTCGGACCGCTGTAGATTATCATAGACGTCCTTGTGCTCTCATATACGGGACTCCGAGTCATTGTGTCTTGGCTTATAAGCTAATACGAAAAACGTCTAATATGAATTTCGTCATATCTGGACCGCGAGGTCTAGCGTGCGTCTGTTAGCGGAAACTTATATGGTGCAGAAATAGCGCTTTTTAGAAAATAAGGAACTGTTTAGCCTAAACTAAAGCTGCTGCTCTTTGCCTGCAGAAAATGTTGAATTTGGCGCAACAATTTAGAGTTAAAGACTACGGAAGGACTTCACTAGAATGCATACTGCGACGTAATACCATTACTAAGCACAGCATTGAATCTGACAAGAATCTCATAGGCCTCAAGTGTGTCTCGACATTATTACGGGATTTCGCAGAGTAATGTGCAGATATTACGATGCTAATTGTAAAATACTTCTTTCGAGCTATTGAACACTGATACATTGAACAAACTCAAAAAGATAAAATACGGGTAAAATTTCTGAAGATATGGCATAGTAAAGTTTCTTGTGTGTAATAATTTTACTACTTTGTAGCTGGCCGCACGGTGCACGAAACAAACAGTGTGACCGACAAGTCGTGTTTAGACCTCCTTTTCGACTGGGGCAAGCTACGGAGGACCGTTGGTGACATCAGCTGGCCATCGACAGCGCCATATTTCATCAACATTGCTGTCTATGAGCATCTATATGTGTATCTGGTTCCGCCAAACAGTGCAACCACCAAATTTGCCTTCTCATCCTGCTATTTGGTGGTAAGCAGGGAAACGCTAGGAGGGGGATTGGCGGCAACCTCATTCTCGCTGGCAGTCGAAATTTTCGCGGCTTGTCGACGGTGTTGGCTGCGGTGGAACGAAGCCAACGCCGTCGCACAGAGACGCACTTCGAACTACTCATATACGGGTAGTAACACATGGGGGAGTCTGCAGGGAAAGGGGGGGTGCGAAAAGAGGCCAGGCAGTAGCCAGCAGCTTTCGTCTGGCAGAGGGTAGTAGAAACGAGCGGACGCGTTCCGTCGGCAAACTCATTTATTTCAAACTTTAAAATATGTCTATTTCCCTTACGACGAACGAGGCTCCCCGTGTGCGCGTTCGTTTGCCAGCCTAGCCGTCCGGCCTTCCGCATCCCGGAGTTTCCCTGCCCTACTCCCGCCCCTCCCAAAGGATCCAGCAGCTCCAGCGACCCCTGAGGTACCCCTGTGACCCTCTCCCCTTCCAATACTTCCCGGGCCGTCGGACTTTGTCCTCTTTGGGTCATTCCTGTCCCTCCTGCGGCAACCTCTGGCGAACACACAGCTGTAATCTGATAATACCGCCATCGCCACAGCAGAACTGCCGCCACAGTCGCCATCGTCATCACCGTACTTCACACTAACAGCACGATGTTCTCCAATGGAGAGCATACATAAACCCACATTGCAGCAGGCACCACATAGCCACATACACTAGCTGAGCGAAGGAGAGAGAAAGCGATGTCAAGATGCGAGATCATCCATACACATTGTCCTATGCCTGTTGGCGTGTGTCCGTCTGAGTGTATGTAAGCGCAATACGCACACGCGTACATAAAAACACAAAGACATACAAATAAATGTTCACGGACATACGCTGAACTGGCGCCCACTACGGCAACCTCTACTACTGTATAATGCTAGTTGGCGGAGACTGAAGACGGCTATCTCTTGGTTGCGGTGCGGCCGAACCCTACGAACAGATCGAATACCGCCCCTCTGTCCCCCGATTGACGCTTGACGCGCCTCTGGCCATTGATAACAAGATTTGCCCAAACAAGCCGCCTGCCAAAAGACAGCGTCTACAACAACGAAAACGAGCATGACCACGACCCTGTCTAGGTGTACTGGTAGGAATCCTCATTCCCTCTTCTTGGCCAAGGCCCCTTCTAAGCGCAACGACGTTGGCCTCACCCGAATGAATAAGAAACATAAAAAGTAGAATACTACGAAGCAGGTGAGCATTTCTGCTACCAATGCACGCTCGCTAGCCGTACAAAAATGTGAGGTTGTAGTTATACTGTATTGCGTCGTTTTGTCTAACTACAACAATTTGTTAATGTCCCTATTCTCTTTATTGTTCAATGTATTCGAGACGTTGATTGGTGTAGATTGTTCGTTGCAAGATGGACAGTGTAACGTAAATCCACATTTGAAATTTCTCAGGAGGAAACACACAAATATATAAAGTTAGCAAGCCTTAGTTGGCGCTGACAGATTGCCATGCAATCGTAGTAGTGCGTTACTCGCTAATACAGCTAGCGAGGATATGCCGACATCAACGAAAGCAGGTGCCTTGCCGCTATCATCCATAGTAGAAGTGGTCGCATACCTTTTCTCTGTGGTGAAGTGTGTTCGAGGGGCGTGCATCAAAGGAGAAGCAATTGAAGACAACTCTCTGCAGCCGTTACTCTCGCATCGCTCGTTCAGATAAACATTCTGTATGTGTGCCCCTAGCTACGTGCATCGCATTCACCGCGTCAACAATTTGGGAAAGGAAATAAGACCGAGAAGAGCGACCACTAACGAGTATCTTCAATACGCCAGGCAGGACAAGGCCAGAAAAGCCAAGGGCAGGAGAGGAAAAGCTGCCGACTCCTTTAGAACTGCGCCTTCATTGTGTGTAATAATGGAGCGTAAAAGAGATGTGACGTCGTGACGTTAACGCGCCGTTCGATCCATGCCGATTCGAGTAATTTAGTATTTTACGGCTTTTTTAATTATTAGGGGCTACGGAGTCTAACAATCTCCACATTTGGGTAATTCTAACAACTTCTCGCCTTAAAAAATATTTCAATACCACATTCAGTCTATATTCGAATGCACTGTCAGCTAAGATAGACTTTAAAATGCAACCTTGAATTAACATCTACCTAGAAAGAAACAAAATGATTGAGATAAGTCCCTGAGAGGAATAATAATCGAACATTGGAGTTTTTCTACAATATTATATTAACATTGCGCATTCAGCGAATGAAAGGTTTTGAGAAGCGGCAGAAAACAATAGCCACAAATGGCTCGCGGGATTAAAGTAAGTTATTTTCCAAAAAAAGTTAGATATACATAACTGTTGTCTTCATATCAGACAATATTATGAATCCCAGTTTTCGTGTACAACGAACCTAATGATGCGGGCGATCGAGTCGCTGCCTTTGCAGGCTTGACTATGTGTTTCCATCCGGTAGATTCGACAGCAACCAAAAAAGACGCTCTTCTGCGCTGTTTTTTTTTTCTAAATATGGTATAGTTTAGTTAGTTTTTTCTTAGCTTGTATATTTGAGGTACGATGCCCAAAAAAATCTCGGATTATGACCGACTGCTTTGAGGTAATTCATTTACATAAAAAACACAAGCCACTTGGTGAGACTTTTCAAAACCACTTCACGATCAGCTGAGAAAACTCTGACTTCGATTTGCCATATTCTAGCATAAATGCGGATCTTACCCAACAGTCGTAAGAGTTCGGGGGGATAAAAAGTCTCGTTGTCGTCAGTTATCGCATACATATTTGCAACTCGTTGAAAAGGGTATCGTATCTTTCATTTACATGCATATACAGAACACAGATCGTCTGCCGGGAAGGCCAATAAATATATTCGTTCTGGAATTATTTTCTTGTCTTTGTGGTAGGAGTTTTCGTCATAGCGGAATTACCAAGTGGAGACTGGATTAGTATAGTGCTGTATTCAGGGTCATTTCGCTGAAGTCCCTAGACAGCAGCGTCCATTATCTGATATGGAGATGCTAGAAACAGTCTCGTTGGATTCTATATCTCGTACCGTTGCGGCAGGACGAGAAACAAATGAAGTAGAAACTGCAAAAACTGGGTACTGCATACATAAGTCAGCAGAAGTTGAGACAATTCAATCAGCCGTTCTTGGTGTGACATCAGCCTACTACCCTCTACTGTATCTTGATGTATCTGTGGACGACCATTAGCGCAAGTTCGATTTGTTGCGTATTTTATTTTTCGCACCTGCTGGTAGTAAATTTCGAGTTCAATTAATATTTGGTTAGCTTGTCAGCGATAAGCCCTTAAAAGCCTAGCACTAGATTAAATAACGTCAAACCTCAACAATTTGAAAGTATCATGAAGGTCACTGGGGGAGTATTATGAAAGTTGGAAGGGTTAATTCATAAACCAGCTTGAGATAGACATAATTGTATTGGCGTTTTGAACGGCCATTCGTCCATGAGCAGAGATGAAAATATTGGTGACATTTTAAAGTATTAGATCTTTGCTTACTATGTTAAGTCTTGCCAATGCATCCGCAACTCTATCTACAGGTTATGCCGAGAGCGTACGCCATTTGGCATAAAGACCCACTGCTTTGCGATTGTTTGGGCTGTTTAAATGCTAAAAAGTTCTTCAGTCGCTATATGAATTATCACTTCAATTTCAAATGAAATGAAACGGGTAACTGTATTCTCTGAGTTCGCGTACGTAATAACTCGACCGGAACCTCAGGACCCAACTGGTCTGGAAGGACCAGATAGGCGCCAAGACAGGTATCTGCAATGCAACTTATTCATTGCTACGTAAATTACTTTTAGGTGTTCTTACGATTATTATTTTCAATTCGACTCTGTTAGGTATGTATGTTCGTTGGCCTCAATAACATGCAACTACAAAATGCAAGCAATATGACGAACCACATTGAATCATGTCTGCTCGATTTAAAAATGTAGAAACATTCTCGAATTATCAATCATACGTTGTGTGCAAAAAAACTGCATTAGAGTAATGAAACTGGCCTAGCTTATGTCCGTTGTTGTTAATCCACATATCGATTTGAATAGCATCTCATCTAATTCCTTACGTAACCTTCTGGTGTAAAGCTGAAGTGAGTTTGCCCGCTCTACGAATATCTTCAGCTGAAGGGCAAAATTCGACAGTGATCTCATGAGGCGTCGACGAGCCGTCCGAAACAATTTTCAAGTCTATCTTGTTGAATTGATGGCACACTATCCACGTGGGGTTTGTGGTAAAGAATTTCTTGACAACTTCAACAAATTGTCGGGGTCAAGGCTGGACCTCGCTCGTTATGGATGCCACAGTGTTATCGAGATGATCGTCGACCTTGCAGATATATTCCGCTCCTTTTTGTCTGGTGTTGACGGAGAATTAATTAATACTTTTTCCTGTCGAAATCACTATAGATTGGACAATCGTGCCAGTACAACGAAAAATTAAGTTCCACAGTTTGGCTTATGCAGTGTCAAACAGTGTTTACTTCACGTCTGAACTTATTTTTATTATGGCGAGTCGATATCTTGCATGTCGGTACTATTTACCGACTAGCAAGTGGTGACGTTGGGGTATTTAATTTAATGCTCGTTTTTCGTACGTGTAAAAAAGCTTCATGTTCTATATAGGGTGTTCTAGAACTGTTACAGGTGTCAAATCCTTTAAGGGATATAAAAGCTACGTAAAAAACATTATTTTCAGTGGAACCGTGGAACTTCGATGCGTGATACTACTGCTGATGCTGAAACTTTCACAACAGTGATACCATGAAAATCACTTGTAAAAGCATGATGGCAAAAGATGACTAGCAGTCACAGCATACAGGCTGAGGTACGTGGTGCCTAGAGAACAGAGGGCTGGCGTAACGTAGGACGGAAAAATAAAACATCCCCGGAACTAAAAATGAAAGTGAAAAGCTTTCATGTAAAAGAATTTGCGAAATTTCTCCGAAACTACCAATGAATGTTATACAAAAAAAAAATATACGTAACAGTAATCACACAAAGTGCAGTACACCATGGTTTAGCATGTATTCACAAACAAGAACCACAAGACACAGGAGGAATTGATTAAAATTTGTAGCTTCGTCTTAAAAATTAAGTTATTTAGTATCTGTCCACTAGAGCATCTTCTAGCATTAGGCATATCACAATCTGTGTCAGACTTAATGCTTCTATTACGGAAGTACCAATCAAGAAAATGCCGCGACGAGTTATCGTTGTAAAATATTACGGCATATCTGTTTAACCCATGAATTTAGCAAGATGCCAAAAATAGTTTGATATCTTGCTAAATTTGACAAAGGCCCACCGTGTTTTCAAACGGTTTCTATGCCGTTTAAAAGCTTTCAGGTCTGTCGGAAGGATTCCGCAACCAGATACCTTAAAGAGTCGAGGGAAATTTCGTAAAAAGGTTTCTCCCTCATCCTTAAAAGATTAGGCTTAATTAATGGCCACGGATTGCGTGCTCAAACAGACATGAATAGTCTACTACATTGGTTAGTATGTTGGGAAACATCCGCTGACGATTCCGAAGAGTGGCACGACTTTGTAGAGATATCGGAAATCTCCGAAAATTCACTCGGGGTTCAGGTATTCAGAACAGGCTTTGGGCTTCGCTGCTGGCTGATTCTGTGCAGCTCAATACTATTCGGACGAGACATTCGGAGTAGCTCGACTACTTTAATGAGCACAGTGGTTAACTGCCTTGGATGCCCGATTCTTCAAGTTCAGGTTTAATCGTTTATTTATACATGAAAAACTCTGACCTATATAACATCGTTTGACATCTGGCAATATTAGATTATGAATTTTCCATTGCGGCAGTCTTCACTTGCTGTAAATTAGTGGAGATTTTTACTCCACTCTTATTTTTTATATCATCGAGAAAAAGGATGTGTCGCAATGCGTCACATCTAAGGCTTACTAAAGCATTTCAGTAACCCCGTTGGCGTTTGGAGGATACCAAGTCAAAGAAAAAGGTCGTCGTTTGAAGCACAAACAATAGGACTTCCTCCATTTTAGGAATTCTTTTGTGATCTATTTGAAAACTGAATAATAAAACTTATTGAATTCACAATTAACCTTTCCTAATGCATATACAAAGGGTAGTGTATTATCTAATGTCGGAAAGAAGCACCATCGGTGTTTCTTCTCGACATTGGAATGATTTTTTTGGATTTAGCTTCCTAAACAGTGTTTTGTCTTTTGAAGGCTTCCATATAACAGTCTATAATAAACAGGTTGACTTTAATGCGAGGAACAGTTTAACGAAAAGATCTAAGAGGAATTCTCAGTAAGAAATGCGAGAGCTAGAAATACGACTGAATATAACAATTTTAGGTAGAGGAACACGTAAAGTGTTGTTACTCAAAGGTACTTATATATACTGTGCAACAAGATACCTTGCATAGACCCATTTTTGACTGTTCGTTTTTCTATTTTTTCTGAAATCAATTTGAACCTCTGCTATACCTAAATATTTCGTCTTACATCCCCTACAGTTTTTCAAGGAAGCACCCCAAAATCCCCCAGAAGTCAATAAAAACCTTACCAATAAACATACACAGATGATGCATATCATTAGCATTGATATTAGAAGATAGAATGTAGATATCTAAGCCTGAAGATCGTGCAAAGCAGGGATTTTTGATCGTGCGGTCTAAGGATTGTAGTTGCCGGCTAAGGATTCAGCTTCACTGTTCATCCTGGGGGCAGCCTTTGTATTAGCAATAATTAGGTAACGTTGAAAAAACTATTTGCAGTCAATTTTCTGCAATAAATGAGAGGTGTCTATATCTCGCTCTGGAAAGACTTTAATCTTTTATTCATGGTTTAATCTATAACTCAGTAAATATTCGTTTGAAAGTTACAATTCAATAAATATTGATATAATAGAATGAATGAAATAATCAAGCTAAATTTCTCGCGTTTAAGCAGTGCTTAACTTCAGCGACATCTTAATGGCAAGCAATGCATGAATATTTTTTAGTACGATCGAAGCTATGCTTTTTCTATTGTTATTCCGCTGACCATCGTATCAGGCAATCGCTGGGTATCGGCTTCTCCTACATAGTTGTCACTCGGATCGGCGTTGTGTGTATAGCGTACATATTAGATATCAAATTAACCAATAAACAGTGGTTATTATTACGCGTACTATTACGTTATATGCAGTATGTATAATGACTGAGATATAAAACGATAATAGATAATCTCTAATTATTTATTATCGTTTATTATCATAGTGTACTCAAGTGAAACCGGTTTATATTGATCAAGTTGGCTTGATGGAAAAACTCCTCAAACGTCTATGAACTTAATGCAAATCGTACGATCTAAAGACTACTTTCAATCAGATAACCGATAATCGGAGAACGATGAAGGACGGCTAACCAGACATTTTTTGCTCATTTTTGATGAAAAATACCTGTTTTTGCTAAAACCTTTATGTGCTAGATCTAAACAAATTCTATATGCTAACGCCAGAATGGTCGACATATCTCAGAACACGCTCTTTAAGTCGTTGTAATACCATTACGATAAAAACTCATAGAAACAAAACCTGGATAAGTTAAAATAGAAAATTAAAGTTCACCGTTTACTTCACAATGACGATTTAATGCACAAATAGATTATAATCGCATCCTTTTTTCTATAAAATATGCTAGACAAGGTTCACTACTTCACTTTTCTCAGATAAAGCAGCACACAGTAAGGCTAACTACATATGAGGTAGTAGTTTTCTAAGTAAAAACACTTTAATTATGGCTTAAGTTACAGCTGCACTTTGTTCAAATATTTGATTTTATTATCCTCGATAGAGCACACACTCCACATTTTGACTTTTTCTCTTTCATTTATTTCCCCATCTTCTCATTTATAATAACAGTACTTCTTGTTCTTTGCTAGCCTTTCAGCGAACATTTAATTTTCATTCAAATGGATAGCTGAGAATAACAACATCGAACAGGGACACTAGCGCAGCTGTCTCGTGTATGAGCTGCGACGACGTTCTGATCAAAACATGAGTTTATGGCGAGTCTGTAGATGTAGTCGCATGTTGCGGGATAAGGCTTCGAACAAAACTCATGTGCTTCTCAAGTGTGTCAACATCTTCTTGTTCGCCATTATCCCGTACTAGATCGTCCATATCGGCACCTGAAGACAGAATTTTACCCAAGGAAAAGGAATAGAAATGCATGAGGCGGTACGTCTGCTGCTAACCCATATATTCTTCACTATTGGTGCATGCATTTAATGCGTACTACTCTAAAAACTGGATTACAAAAACGATGTTAAACGTAAGCTAAAGTAAGATTCGTTTTTGTGCTGAGATTCAGTGGCGCTTAAGCTTTCATTATACGGCTTCATGCATGCAATTTAAAACATACGTTTGTAAGCTCGCGGTTGAAATTCCCTTTAAAGATAGATAGGATATTGTTGAAACTGCAACAAGGACTATCTCGAGACTGCCTGAGATGTCATTAATTTCAAGAATTTTTTTGTCGGTAATTGTCTTTGCTAAACGAGCACACTAGTATGGCAAACGAACAATATGATTTGAATATTTAAAACTCATACATTCGCACGGATATCATAGATCTTTTAAATTATCATTCGGTGCACTTCACACTGTTGTAGGTGTCGATTTTTGTTTTATAAATGAGGATCCAAATTCGAACTTGGACACCTGAATTTTTCGTCGAATCACAAAAAGAGAGGAATGAAAGGCATCTCGGAGGGTAATCCAAGATTTCGGTGATTTATAGGGACACACAGATAGTACTTACCAACGGTCCATAGCGTCTCAAGATCATACTTTTCTCGCGTTTGCTGATCAAAGATGTGCAAAACAATATTTCCCATATCGAGTACCTTCCAGTCATCAGAGTCCATCCCTTCGATCTTTAGAGCAGCATCATCCGCCCGCTTTTTACGTTTGAACTAGTCAATAGCAAATACACAATGCGTAAAAAGTTGCCATTAACAAGCTATGGAAATTAGCCGGACATTGTTGTAAAAGCGAACATAATCGGTTTTGACTTTCCGCAGTCGTTAGTATCTATACTTTCTTTGGACTTAGATGTGTTTTAAAACCTCCTCGTGTACATTATGTTATACATTTCTGTGATGTCTTACCATTTTTCTGAGGTATTGCGTAATGGCCTTTGCCTGTCTAACGGATATAGCTGAGCAAATCACGAGATAATCAGCGTAAGGAAGATTCGGGGGAATCTTAATAACCACTACGTCCAGTAGCCGCTCCTCGCGAAGAACGCTTACCAAATCATCAATATCGAAGACGCCAGTTTCACCGCGTGGTAGTTTAATTCCTACTTAAAAAAACAAGAAGTAGATATAACGAGCAGTTAGGTAAGACCATACTCATTGTATTAATGAGAAACTGTTTTATTATATAAATATAAATGGCATCCTATCAAGTGTTATATATAACGCTTGTATACGGATTAGTATATTTATTTATATGTATTTACAGAGGAGTGTTGCGCAAACTCTAGATTATTGAACCTGTCTAGATATGCTGCCAGAAGTGCATTATGTCCCTTCAGCCTTCACTGGATTTTACTAGGTAAGGCAAGAAGAGAATTTTTATTGAAATTGTCATTTAACACAGATACACAACAACATACACAAAGCGAAATTACTGTTATTAGCGAAATTACTAAATGGGATTTTGTAGAATAAGGCAATCATTCATGGTGAAACAATAAGCTTTGCACAAGTGCAGGATTTTTAGGATAACGCAACGTTGTATATTTAATACTTGAGGAAATTTATTTAATCTTAAGAAGTACACCAACCCAATGTCTTAACTATTTTTGTTTTATAAATTATGTGTACACCCTTCTTTGCGCTTCTCTCCACCGTGTGTTATTCTATAAAGAAGTTCGTTGTAAAAGAGCATATGAATTACCTACCTTTTCTGTTCTATCCTATAAGCAAAACGCTAAATTCATTTGGAGACTTTCGTAGATCGCATAGACAACATCAATTCATAATAAATCTTGGAGATATTTCATAAAACAAGGAAGCATTGTGATCCCTTTACGAGTACCTCTCAAAAGATCAACCTTCTGCTGTTCTGGATAGTAGTCATTATAGGTATGCTGTGCATCCAGTTTCTCTTGATGATCCCAGATGATTTCCGTCTCATCCGTAAGCCTTTGTTTATGCACCTTTATTGAGGGCTTCATAGTGACGTGATTGTCTGAGACTTCCGAATCGTTTTCGGCCCCAATGTCCGAAGAACTTTTACTGTTACCGTCGGACGATCCTATACTTGGTGCTCTGTCTTTAAGTATACGTGAAGTGTGCAGAGAGCGAATAAAGCTCATCGTTGACAGTTCTCGCTTTTCTGCTATATGAGCTGGAGCCACGAATGATTTAGGCGCAGCGTCCTCATCACTTTGCTGAAGATCGTACATAACACACAAAATATGTAGGTATTAGTGTGGCGTTCTTCCCAAGAACAAATAGGAGGTAGAAAACCCAATTGGACACACATGCTAGACAGTATTTCGGAAATTAACATATGTTTTATTTGTTTTAAATATGCTGGAAGCATTTCCTCAGCAGACTAATTTGAGGTTTATAGTATGTATATTGAACAATTATATGCGACCTTGATTTACGCTTTAGCATGACTTATCTAAATTTGTTCTCGAAAAAGCTAATTTTTCCTAATAATGAAGAAATTTTTGCTAATTGTCTTAGTCAAGCATTCTCGCCTGTTAGTCTAGGAAATTGACCTTGTCTTTTGAATGATCTTTCTTTTGCTTTCGCTGTTGTCTCTGTTCTTTGCGTTTTTCTGCGCCCACGTCGAACTCATCGTAGAGTTCGTTGAGATAACCTCGTGTTTCGTGATCTGGCTCCCCAAGCTTTTCAAGAAGCTTTCGCTCCTCATCCGTCATCGGTACCTTTGTAGGCTGGAGTCTCGTTACCGCTCTATGAATACAGCGATGACCAAGGCACGTTGACACCCTGTTGGTAAAATCGGCCTGAACGCTCCGACGGATTCCATCGGCAGAACCAGGTCGAAAGGCTAATAAAATTCAATGATATTATCGAATTAGTCAGCAAAATAAGAGCTTTATTACTTGAAAGTTTCGGATATCAAGATTTACAAAGAGGAAAAACTTCTACTTTATGAAATCATACAGACAAATGTCTTCGAAATATAGGGCACCCTTTAAATATAGATTTGCTAGTATTCGTGTGCTTGTTCATCGTAATTTATGTTGGTTTGGATCTGCTGAGAAAAAACGAATTACGTTAGACAAGAAATGAGTTCGTACCAGGACACGTCTGCCTAGAAGTACAGGCATGACATACCTATCATTAACACGTGTGCGTTACATCGGCTGAGCTGGTACTCTCACGTTGTAAGAAAGCAACATGCAAGAGCTTTGGTGAAATCTGATTGGAAACGCACGTCTTATTATGACAAAGGATGGCAGCATTGGTATTTTGAAGACGTGTTCTTTTGCAGAATCCAAGTGACTCATTGTATGGCTGAATCGCAGTAAGAGAGCAAAAAGCATGGGGCACTAACCGATTTTTAGGCGAACATAGTTCTGCTTGTTAGCGTGATTAACAGATCATTACAACGTTATATAAGGCGCTAGTAAGTCATATTTAGATATATTTCAACAATTTTAGAACAAATATTAACTCCGCGTCAATTCGTGGTAGTGAACTAGATAAACCGCTCGCCTCTGTAGTCTGCTTATATTCTCTCAAGCAATGACAGCAAATTACTGTTAGAAGAAATAATTTAAATAATACTGAATTTTCTAGGTTGTTAGCTTCACCTTAATGTGGGTTGCCAATATGATCACTAGATAGGTTGGTATTAACGAAGTGCCAGGAATTTCTCTTCTGGTTAACTTAAAGTTCTAACTGTAATTCCCCCTAAGCTTTTTATACGATACGATTACATTCCTTATTTAACTCATAGCTTACAAAAAAATGTATTATATTGTTCATATTACTCTCTCCAAGTGCGAACTTTAAAGCGTCCATCGCAAGGGAGTAACTAGGGCAATGCAAATTTTAGGATATTCGCATTGCATTTCAGATTTCAATTAAATTTTACTATTTGCTTAACGGGTAATATATTCACATTAATGATAAAAGTTTAGTTTAGAGTTAACGAACCTGTTGCTCCTCGACTTGACATCGTCATCAATGCGCTCCGCAGAGCAGCCATGCTCGCAGATGGCAGCAGAAATCCCACGCTGCTAATCAAGTATTCACTTCAGCCACACTAACTATTCGTCTTCTTTTAAATAAGCAGGGAAATACACCAAACTATCAAAAGCTGCACAATGGAAAAAGTGCTTCATACACAGTGTTAGTTAAACTAACTAAGACGGTCAGCACAGTTAGCTGTTTAATGAGTACTCACGCTATACAAATTAACCATGTAGGAACATATTCGAACGCCTTGTTCGCAAAGATAAGTGCGCTATTCTCTACACTACAGTGCTGAACACCTCGCACAGCAACAGCGGCCCAACTCACAGATAGTAGACCTCACGCGCTCTCCTCCGACACCGCGGCCGAAGACTGAACGTAAATAACAACAATAGGCAACCTGCTTTCACAGACACAGAGGGTAAATACGCCTATTTCTGGGAGCGCGAATTCATTGTAAATAACGGGTGGAGATTTCTTGAAGTTCGTAACGAGTCAGTTGTCGGTATCAATAGAATTTGCACAATGAGATTTCACGGTCCAGCTAACAGCTGGGCTATGCTCCGTCGTCGGGGTTAATTCTAAAGCGGTGAAATTCGTATTGGCTGTTACTCTCCGCAGATCTGTCGTCTGCTAGACCCCATCTTGACTTTTCGTGCTGATGTACATTTTGGTCGGTGTGTTCCTGTGGTAGTAGTCGGGCGGTGTGTGGTGTATAGCAGCGGTATCCGTCCGGCCTTATCTATCGCTCGTTCTGTATGGTGCAATATTGGCGATGGCCTCATTGTAAAACGTGACCATTGTCGTTGATTCAACGAAACTCTATTAGGTGTAACTCGGTTGTCCCGCGTACAGATTAGTAATTAGCTCCTTACGGCATGGAAGACGAGTACGAAAGCCTTCCTTCGGCCTCGACGCCCGTCCACATGCTGGCTGGAGCCGCTGCTGGGATTATGGAGCACTGCGTGATGTACCCCCTCGACTCCGTCAAGGTAGGAAACTAGGCATATGAACATCGATGCACATTTTTTGAACATGGTCTCAGCTTGACGATGCTACCCAACAGATGACAAAAAAATACAAGGTCACGGGGGGTTCAATTAGTTGCCAGTCGTTGCTGCAATCGAGTAAATTGGCATACATTCTACATTTTTTGTGTACGTTACCTTGCCTAGAGAGGCTCTTCTCGAGGGCAGAGCGGCCTCTTAGCAATCGTACTGAGTGCGCGGAATGTCTTGCTAAGCTCTTCGTCAAGAAGTCCGCCGTCTAGTCTTGAGCGCGGATTCCTCTGTGATGGTGCTCAAGTTAAGCGAAATGTATATAGATTATACACAAGAATTATCTTAACGGTTACGGGTCACGACACCCCCTACAGCACAATGTTAACGGATTTCACTCACTTTCTACTAGCCGGTCAATCGAACGGCGGCGTTTGGGGGTCATATATCTGATTGTTCAGCTGAATATATCTGATTATCTCTGGAATCAGGAAGTAACTCAGGGTGGCGGTTATCGTGAGTCTGCGTGTGTATCTGTTTCCATGTATCTGAGAGTGTGTCTGGTGCGTAGGTTCTTCAATTATTGTGCACTATAGAGTATTTACCGTCTCTCGTGCTTTTCTAAAGTTAATAGTGCTCTGTTTGCTGTTGCATAGTCGGCACCTTCAAAATGTTCTGTGCATAGTTACATTATTAATCGGGTAAAGACTGCCACAACATTCTCCGTTGGTAATTAGTGATGCTGCTATGAGGAAACTGTGAATGAATGTACTTAGGTATTGGGACGTTCCAATTTGACAACGCGTCTTAATCCACTCGTAGGTTCGAGTACTTCCCTTCTAGCTTAGATGACAAAAAAACATGAATCTATAAAAACGACTTTGAAACATAGACGTTTACTAAACTCATGAAACAGCAACAATTAACGTTAAACATATTGCGACAAAAATAGTGTGAAATGTACTTCTATTTCTAAAAGTGTGAAGAGCATTCGCTGAAGCTGTAATGTTTGAGCATGCGGCGCCAGCTGTCTTCGAAGATGCTGCAAATAACAGTTAAGGAAGAATGGCAATTTCTTCGCGCCAGAGCTTTAACCGCACGTGGATAGAGCGGATAAAGTACGCATTTTTATGTCGTCCATTGCATAAATATACGTTATTAATGTTTAATATCCGATTCAAACAACTGCCTCAATAGAGCAAAACGTACTCTGCATCATTACAAGAACACATCCTATTATATCGATGAATAAGCGAGCATTTCATTAATTTGCTCCTAGTGCAAAGAGCATTTGCTGGCACTTTTTTTGGTTTAACTTGTATGTTTGTCTTTTTATTATGAGCTGCCTGTGGCTGTACAGACAAACGTACAATAAAAGGAAAAAGGCTTTATAATTAAATTCAACAGGAATTCCATATAGTACTATTTAAAGGACACTATTTAAATGCTGAAAGTACCTAGCTCGTGAAGATACAGTAGCTTAAGTAGTCTTACCTTCGATTGGTGTATCCAAAGCTGCTTTCGGTGGTCGAAAGCCGTTTCCATATAATGATCTGTTGTTGTTTACGAAGTTCGTGGAGAGCAAAATGGAGAATTCGTAATAACATAGCGGTGTCGATGAGGACAAAACATTAGGGCAGAGCCTCTAAAATAATAGTTTTAAAGAAGAAAATATTTTCTAGCTTCCAGATTCCTTTCGTAGTTACAGAAGTAACGAATAATTTTTTTTGTATTTATAGAAAAGTGACAAATATAGCTCAGCGTATGTTAGGCGACAAACTTGTAGAGCTTTTAACTTAGTACAAACTAAGTGCGACAGCTGCAAAAAGGTCTATCCATACACAATCACGTAATCCAATCATCGATCATAGGATAACATTTAAATTACATTCCGTCTTGTTTTATTGAGAATCTGCTGACCTGGTTCATCGTCGTCTTTCTACGTCGAGATTCGTCGTTTTACAGGCTATACCAACGAATTTAGAACGGTAAACCGTTCGACAGTAATTTGAACTGTAGATCACTCGACCTGTTAAATATGATTTTCATATATATATGTTGATTTAGTCGATATGATTTGGCGACCAACTTCGCGGTGATATCGTAGTTTGGCAGATTTACTGGGTTATTTGCAATGTCGTAGAAATAATGGTTGTAAAAGTCAACCGTCCTACAGTCAACGGGCAAACGCACCCGCTGACTGTAATTGTATCATAATCGTGTCATGCATTTACCTAAGAGCTAGTCGACTGAATACAATGACAACTAGACACGCATTAGCTATTATGTTCCATACGACTGTCAAATCCTGTTTTTTTTTTTTGAAAAAGAGTTTGTTGAATATACTATTGCGCTAATGTGTGTAAGTCTCTTTTTTCTTCCTCTCTCAGAGTCAGCAATTAAGACGAAGCATCACTCAGTGCCAAAAATTGTCTGATCCATGATTTAACTTAATGTGAAATATGCGGTAGGCGTACTTGCTAACGAAAGCTTTGATGGGAACACATGAAACAACTAGATGTAGTCTCTGTCCTAGCAATGACTATCTGGTAATGGTTGCTTGTTGTACATGTTAAGCACATGACTGTGACCATTACATGCAACACGTTGTTGCTGATGTTATTCTAGCTGTTTATACTACTGCAAGTGCTACGCTTGCGCTCTTCAATGGCGCTTTATACGTCTTGACCATTTACCATTCTTGTCTTTTCGCGTATCTACTGGTGCACCTAACGCCATGGTGCGACAATTGGCCCTGCTTGTGTCACTCGTGGCCTTGACAATTCTGGAACGCGTCTGCAAGCGATTGCTGCTTGATGCTGCTCGCTGCCACTGTTTCCGCTAGTGTTCTGTCAATTCCACCGGTACCAGTTGCCGACGCTGCAATGGCGGGCAGGCGGTAAGCAGCACGCGGCAGCCTTTTACAAGAGCTTCCAAGCAACAGCGGCGACGCGGGTAATGACGCCACCGACGTTAGTGATTGCCGGCGACCGATGGCGTCGGCGATACTCGAAGAAATGGGGAGCAGACGAAGTGCGGAAGAGACAAAACCACTGTAACACTAAAAGAAAGTAGCTATCAGGGTAAACCAGACAGTTATATGTACTTGAATTTATAGCATAATGTGTGGTCTGTCTCGTGCATATCTAGAGACTTGCCGACGAGAATAATACTTTATTGCAAGAAAAATGAATAGGCGACGTTTTAGAAGCTAGAACATGTGCGAAGTAAAGCCTTCAGTTTTTCGAATGGGCCCATGCAGTTATACGTTACAAGATGTTTACTGATTTTGTAGGGGTATAGACGTGGCCAGTTGGCGTGACTTTTTCACCATTATTACATATGAATTACCAAAAATATATAATAGCCGTTTGTTATGTCTGCTTTTCACTATCAACAATTTGTTCTTTGCTATACCATTATCACTTATTTGTAGTGCTAAATAAGTTCGCTGCTTATTACGTAGGGCAGTCTAATTAAGAAACCAACTTTAAAAGTTGTTTCCGCAAGTGCACAAAACAATTTCTTTTCGTATTCTATAACTTGTTGAACGTCATTTAACTATTCTAAATTTTGCTTGCCAAAGAAAATGTAAAGGGTCATCATTTGAGAGACTACTACAAGTTGTTCTATGGGTCGATATTTCTGAAGTTAGCAGAACAGGGAAAGTTACGAAGGTAAAATTCGTGTCCACATTCGATAGAATCTCATAGGAGTCATAGTTAAGCATTGTTTCCTAGATGACATTTACGTTTGCATTCCATTTATGACTCTGTAGCTTCTATGTGTATTACGTTTGATGGCTAAGTCAGAAAATGCCCTGATACCGAGTTGTGCGCAAGCTTGTCATATAGGATTGGCTTAAAGTAGGCTGATTGGGGTATACGAGATCGAGTATCAGATCACAACGGAATTTCTCTAGGAGCTAGTAACGAATACGCACGTCGCTTATATGATCAAACCAGCTGTCATTAACGATAATGTTATATAAGGATTGCCTCTGGAAATTCGATTCATAGCTGACGGCAGCGCCAGTGAACTAATTAAAACGAAGTAATCAACCTTTTTGAAACTGACCATCATTGGGACGTACTTGTTTTTGAATCGAAGAAAACACTTAAAAGTTGCGTATATTATGCAGTCAGCTTCAAATTTTTGAAACTCCAAATGTCATCTTGATTATAAAAGTGTATAGAGTCTTTTGTACCAGATAGACGTATTCTTGCATTTGTAAAAGTACCAAGGATGCAATTTTATTTTTATTATTATTAATGATTAGCTTAATCCAAATTTATCTGATATGATTGGAAATTATCTTAGTAGCTGCTAACTTGTAGAAAGGTAAGGTAAAATTTACACATTCGACAGTTTTACAAAGGCATAATCGTGTTCACCATAGGTTGTAAGTATAATACTATAGTCCTAGTCAGTATGGCGGAACATTTGAGAGACACTTGAACGACTGTACCCGGACATAATCATTAGGTAGCCGTTACGCTTAAGGCAACGCTTTCTTTGGCTGCTTTCTGTTATAGCAGATTGATAATGGCCGCGCTGTGAATCTTGAATTTTTGAGTGACAAACTTTAGGTGAAAGGAATTCAGGTGAATATGATAGGATTTTTCAAGGCGCGTTTTACAATAGCTTTGCCATAGATAGCCCGTTCGCGGGTTATTACTACTACAATTTAAATAATGGAACAGTTACCGTCTGACCCACCCGTTTTGTGCTCTCTAGTAACACAGCTGTTTTTGCTGATTGGACCCATCGGATAAAGTTTTGAGTTTTTCTCTATTGCTTCGTTAGTAAGACGCGGCTATTGATATGAACAGCTTTTGTTGATTGAAACTGACCTACTGCCTATAGAATGGATAGAGCGGATAAAGCAACATTAACTTAATTTAGATAGCGAAAAATACACTTAAGGCACACAGAATATGTGTTTTCCGGTGATATTGGCTGGATCCAGAGCCATATTGACATCAGGGAGTTGTTTCCAGGCAGTTTCGACATTTGTTCGAACAGACTGTTCATATGATTGCACATGTACTTACTAGCTTTTACAGTTCGTTCTGCTATATTTTCCAAATTACTCAGCCGCCAAGGAGTTCTTTATGATATTAAAAAAATCGAAAATACCTTTGGGTAATCGAATCAAGTCCAACATAGCCTTATAGAATAGCTTTTCTTATTCTTACCAGGTTCTCGTTTAGTATGTTCTGACGGTATCTTAATGGTCACCATAAAGCTCCAAATTCTCAGGGAAACCCTAAGTTATGACGACATTCTGCAATAGAACGTCTTTTAATTCGCTGTGCATTCCAGAATCATAGTTGAAGGTAATTGTTGTCACTCGTATTTGGACTACTAGTTCAACTACTGATCGCCGTAATAATAATATTTGTAGTAATAATAATTTGAGTAATTTGATTAGCGCAGGTTCATTCACTCATAAAGAAACAGGTAAGTGTTATAAGCAAGGTGACTTTGATTGAGTATCCTTAGGCCCACGTAGCAAATTGACCTTCAAAATTATCGCTAATGCGATAAATAGAACATTTCTGAGTACCAGTACCTTCACAACGAGCAACAATGCTCAGGCTACCATGAGGGCCTATTTCAAACGTGTCATGACTGGAAAATCAAATATTATGTTATAACGCTGGGTAAATACATTAGAAGGGTTGAAATTAAAAGTTTGAATTATTTGAACCACGAACTCCTAGCTGGGGATCGAATCCAGAACCTCATTTTATGAAACTAGAGTTAGCTCAACTGTTTTCGCTTAAACATATTTCAACCATGGTATCGAAGTTCGACTCACTTCTATCCATGCAGTAGGTATACGTTAAAAATACATAATACGATTGATATGTATTTTAAGAATATAGTACGCCAAGGCGAAACCTGTCTATGCAACCACCGGTTCCATTTAAATCCGAAAACATAACTTCAATTGATTTACTTTATGGTTTCTTCATTGCGGTTTATTATTTCTGTAAATAAAACTCAAAATAACTTTCAGAGCACCCATTTCTCCCACATATGCAATTGCATATTTACTTTTATTTGCAATTTTAATAAGCACAGCGTTTGAGTAGTACGTTGACAACAATGCGTTGTAACTGTATATGCTTTATGAAATACTGTCAGTGTCTATGGATGCAACATGTGAAATCTCTCTACTTCCCTTGGTTGCCACAAGATCTTGTTATAACAGAACGTTTCACTTTTGTACGGTTTCCTTTTGCAGACGCGATTGCAATCATTGCGCCCATCTGCGGGTGCACGCTATACTGGCGTGATGGACGGTTTATATAAGATGGTTCGGCACGAGGGTATGCTCCGACCTGTCAGGGGTATGTCTGCGGTTGTAATGGGTTCGGGACCCGCGCACGCACTGTACTTCAGTACCTACGAGAAGCTCAAACGAAAATTGAGCACTAATCAAAGGCAGAGCAATCCGCTAAGTCAATGTGAGTTGCAACTACACATCGCTTCGTCTGAGGGGGGTCAGGGCAACCGAGGCTGAAACTGTGACAGAAAAAATGCAGCGCCACCTTAGTTTATAGTTTTTAGTCATTTTAAAATTGAATTGTGCCGCTAATATATTATGTTAAAATGGATTATCATTGTAGAGTTCGAGATTCTCCCAGCTTCTGAAAGACACTTAGGTATGAACTAAATAAAGTTCTTTAAGGTGCTGGTAGTGAACGTCTATTGGCACCGTATTTTGATATAGCGACATTCTTAAAGATCTGTCTAGTGCTGCCACTTTCGTCTTGCATCACAGAAGAACCAACAAATACAGTTTTTAATTTACCCTAATTATTTTAAATATATGTTCTTTTAGAATGTAAAACAGTCTCAGAGCTCATTTCCCATTAAACCATTTTTTTCGATCTACTACAAGCGCAAATTTTACTAATAAAGACATTAGGATTTTATCGAGCTTCAATCAAGTATTGCATGCTACAGTCGCTGCGTATAAATGTTGTATAATAAGCTCTTAGCAGTCACCACTTCTCTCAGGTTTCTACCCAAAAGGTCATGCTTATAGTTACGATGGTGCTGACATAATTTTTCGCATTTGGTAAGTTTTTTAGCATGGTCTTGTCCGTTACTGAGCACCGGGAGAAAATGTTGACTGGCGACAGATTTTACATCATATCTGGCCTATGTAGCAGCATATTATTCTTAATACAATCAATCGATGGTATGGATGACGCAGGATGGCTCATAGATGTGTCTCTACAAACGGCTCTGTAATTAACTGACAGGTCTATATATCTACATATACATAAGCTGTTACAAGCGAATCCGGCGGAATTCGGACTTGAACAACTTTTCAACTCTGTGCCGCTAACAATTGAAACCTAAGTCTTTTTGAAATTTGTAAGTGAAAATTAGTTGAGTTTATTCCAGGATAAATGAGTTCAGAAGGAAAACATGTTTTAATCTTGAAAACATTGCTCAATAATTAAGTCTTTGGGGCCACAGCGCTGCAAACATTCATTAAAGGTTGGTAAAGACAATAGACAAGGACGCCTTGAGTGAAAGCATAGTACGTGAATGGTGCAAACGTTTGAAGAATAGAGATTCGGGTACTAAAGATCAACGAGGAAGTGTCGAGACCTCAAGGACAGGAACACTTTACCGCAACTAAGGAGGCTTTTCACAAAGGCAGAATTTGGGGTATAAGGGCTTCGTCAGTTAAAACCGGCAGTTACATGTACCATATTACAAAAGTATAGTCCAAATTTAGAAAATGCGCTACTTGAGTAAAAAATGGGTTCCTCATGGATTGATTCCAGGCCAATTGGAAATGCGTGTGGTGTGTATCGCGTGCAATCTGTGAAACTTTAATCAACAAAAAAACCGCCAGGAGTGTACGGTCGCAATAGACGAGATGTGATTCAGTCTCTACCCTCAGCCAGAGAGGTATTAGACAGGACAATGGTGTCACCCTGGAGAGAAACCGAGTTCGGTGACAGTATCGAGTAGGTTCGAGTAAAAGTAGATGTAGTACCTCAAATAGGTACCAGTGGTACCTGCTACTATGAGGTATCCACCAAAAATGAAAAAATAAACGTAACTTGCTATTTCCACTTCCTCAAGAGTCTCATAGACTGTTAGCATGGCAGTCGAAAGCACGCAGTCTGGTTAATTGATGGGAACGCTAGCCCTCATCGCCATGCCTAAATTACTCCCTGGGTTAAGCAAAAGAGAATTCAACGCTAGCTTCAACTCACTTATTCTCCTGATCTCAATTCGTGTCATTACATGGCTTTTCATGCCCTAACAAGGGCAAATAATGGGCAAGCCTGTCCCATTGTCTGCTTCTTTTGAGGAGTCATGAATATAGACAATACATATAGGAACGAGAATAGTAGGTACATGGCTGTCCAGGAGGTGCCAGAGCGTTAGGACAAGTGTGTGAAAAATAAAGAGCAATACATCTAACACGCACTGAAAATCACCATCGTAGGCCAAATAACTGAAGTGTTATTCAATTTCAAATTCTGTCAGATCCGCTTGTAATGTAGCCTAATGTGTAGTTAAAGCCAATTGATTCGACATAATATGTATTCACAACTACACGCTATATTTCACCTACGCTCGCTCTACATACATAGCTACTGTAAAAGTTTCTGTTCAAATCCACGTAAACCGGGAACAGCAAAGGTCCTATAAAACCTGGAGTCGATTCGAGCGGGATCCTTCAGTGTATCGATATACGGACCTTGTCAAAAAACCTTATGCAAGAGAAGGATTTCGGTAGATTTACAAGTTTTTTATGCCGATACCATGGCCGACGTATCATATATTTGGATACTATTTTATAGATTGTTTTACTTCGCTCTAATTTAGTTCGTATGATAAATTGTTGATACAATCTTTGCTCGCGATTATTGTTTCTAGTTGACAAGTCGTTATGTAATCATATGTTCATTGTGTATATTTTTTCCAGGTGTGGCTGGTGGTCTAGCGACGATAATGCATGATTCAGTGATGAATCCTGCCGAAGTCGTTAAGCAGAGGATGCAAGTGTACGGTAGTCCGTACAAGAACTGTATGGAATGTCTCGGGCATATTTGGCGTTCTGAAGGCATGCGGGCATTTTATCGTTCATTTACCACACAACTCTCTATGAATATCCCTTTTCAATGCATCCATTTCGTCGCATATGAGTTCCTACAAGAGGTAAGTACAAACATTTGGTGTTATTGATTTCGTATTTCTGCTAATTGATGAAATCATATTTTTGTGCAAAAAAAATTGAACAGGGTCCATAATGGACGTCAATAATAACATGGAATCTGGTTATGATACTGACTGATTTCACAGGAAAACGTATTTTTCTCTACAAAGAAAACCTAACTTTTTTTTTAAGTACTGTTCTCGAAAATGAGATGTTTAAATAAAGAGATTGAGCACGCCTTCGAGTCGATATGTTGGAACTGGCAGTGGGTGGAGTCATTAAGCTCCAGGAATATAACAAATTTCGTGCTTTCTAAAACGACTTAATATTGGTTACCATTTTTCGGTACTATGATAGTAAGCTAATTAGGCGAGTTATAATTTATTCAATGTATGGCGATTGCAATACAGTTAAACCTTACCCGATAGTATACGAGGTAAAAAGAGCTATGCAAAACGGGTGAAGTAGTGAATTGCAATACTTCGACTGGAAGTTGAGGCTAAAACTTATATGGGAAATTTTCGCTCTTACTGACTCGAGATAGTTTCGTTCCAGACATGAACTCCACGCTTATAGTTAGAGCTGGATTTTGTTTTGTTTTCTGATGCCCTGGCTTTGGGTAACTCTTACATATTTTACTGCATTTGCTGTTTTTTTTTTTCTAGCACACATGATTATGAATTGGTTTATTATATATCAGTCATAAATAGTCCAAGTGGTCCAGCACCTTTTTCATTATGGTGTCATCATGAGACGTTTAAACAGCCAGGCTTGCCTTGAAATCCAACGACACCGAACGACTATCAATTCTATTTATGTGGCCTTAAAGCTGAATCCGGTAAGGGAATTATTTAGGAGTGGAACTGACAAGGTTGTTTACTGCGCTACAGGCATTCGTCAAGTAAAGGTTGTGGAACTATTAATGCTGGGTTGCTTAAGCTCTGACAATTGTTATCACCAATATAGGGGGTTCATTAACAACGCTTCTGCTTTTTTCAATTGACAACAAAGGACTCTACCAGATACATGACCACATAAAAACTGTGAGTTGATGAATATTAGAAGGTTTGGCATAATTAATGAAGTCATGAGCTGTGAGGTAGCCTCTAGTAAAGTATCGTGTATCCTAGATTTAGTTAGATCAATATCAAACATATAGTATATTGATACTGCCTTAAATGATTCATTATTTAACATGATAGCTGTCATTTTTACCAATATATTGGTTTAATAGTTTACCGACGGTATGCGACGCTCACAGTGTGAAAGTGACGACAATGCAGCCGTTGTTAGGGGCCTTTAAAAACAATCTGTCAAGAATTTTTAGGTCATTTTTAGTCAAGAACTCTAGTTTTTCATATGAATCAAATTCATGATGAAAAGGATCGCCTAGAGCCCATCGTTGCAAAAGGTACACTCGCTTATCTCTGTCTCTTTCTCTGTAAAATAATTTTGTACAGTCACAGATAGAGTGCTTGTTTTTGAGGTCTTATAATCATCTTTAGCTAGAGAATCAGCATTCTAAGCAAACCTGTTTTAAGTACAAATTTAATTTTTTTCCAAGCATGATTTTATATTGTGCACTACTCGACCCACCATGCATCCCAAAAATGCAGTATATTCATATTTGTCAATGACAGAAACAACCAGTTTAGCTACGCTGCTACATATCTTACATACTACATACGTACTTTTATCAAAAAGACTTGAAACCATTTTTGAGAAACATTTCAAATGATCCGATTTAAAAAATCTTATCATGTCAATATAAATAGTTAATAATATAAACAGATAAACTAACTCTCTGCAAAATCACCTTTTTTGTTTTAGTGGAATAAACATATTTTTGACTACATCGATAGCTAGAAGGCGTTTACTTGTATCGTGGCACAATCACATAGCCATAAAGCTATCAAAGAAAGGCCACGTGTCTTGGAAGCGTTCCTTCATATGGAGGTTTCCTATTTCTGGCATAAAGCTGATAACCTGCTGGTTCGTTCGTAGAATAGGTATCGCGCTGTTTGCATCTTCCGACAGAACTTGTACTATGGGTAGATCTTCCTGGTGTAGACTAGTTTTCTCGCTTTCATATGTTTTCGTATAAATACAAGAGCAGCGTTCGTTTAAAAACTAATTGACTGTTCGAAGCATCTTGACTGAGTATATAACATTTACAGACGCCTAGTCAGGAATTACTACCAATACCAGCAGTGACCATTGATAATGCTTGCTTGTGATAGGATCGCATAATGGCGTCCACAGCTTTTTGAGATAGAATTTACACGGGCGATTCGATTTTTGCCTCCGATGCAAGTTTTATTTCTTTTACGAAAGCCGTCGTTGGAGTTGTGGCATCAACGATTGTTGCAGCCAAAATAGGTAACCAACATCTACAGGACAGAAACTTCTATCGCGATTATAGCCGCGCGAACTAGAACCCAGTTTTCCAAATCGTTCCCGTAATTAACACATGACCGACACAAGGATCGTCCCTGCATTGACAATAGCATTTATACTGCTGGGGTAGCTACGTCTGTTCGCATATTGGCTAATATTCCAACCAAAAGCATTACACAAATTCCGTGCGTCGATGAGCCTCATTGCAACTGTCAGAGCTTTTCAGAGCTGACCATATAAGTTTGTGTTGTAAATAATATATATATATATATAAACTGCATGTGCACTTACAAAGTGTTATAGAAAGAAAACAGTCGGTCAGCTGTAGGCTCGGGTTTTCATCCCGTTTTTGTGACAGGCCACGACCTTTGGAGATCGGTTGTCCTAGTGTTTTTTTTACATGTTTGGAATGAATTGGACTGAACTAGACTTCTCACATAATTTATAACCAGGGCGTCTTATATATTGCGATGCCTAAAGTCAGCTAGGCCAGGTACCAGAAAATTATCTTTTCTATAAATTTGCTAGTTTTGTAACGTCCCTACTGAAAGTTATTCAGCCACAAATCGTTAGTTAGCGATATATTTAAAGCAGTATTTAATCTAATTATCACAATTCAATATAAAAAAGAAACATGTACCCGCTCGTATGATACCATCTTAAATAAATTCAGCTCATCGCGCTCACGTATTTCTACCTGATTACGCGATTCGAATGAAAAGATTGGAGGCATTGTATGCCAGCGAGTTCCGTTTGAATATCTCACACAAACAAAGTTATATAGCATGTTTTTGATTCTTCAAAATGCGTCTCTCGTTGCTATAGGTGGGTTACGTTTGGCAGAATGATGGTGAGTGGCCAGTGATCGTGTTGTTCTCTTGTGTAAGAGAATCTTTGTTCAGAAAATCGGCTAACGTACGCGACAGGTAAAAACACGCGGATCATCAGCTATAATCCTTCATCAGGCGGATAATAACGGAACCTGCTACTGATGTCGAATAGTTTTGCTCAGTGTAAGCGTTTCATGTGCATACTGGACAAGCTGTTTGTAAACAGCATTACCATTAATATGGATGGTCTGAATAAAGTGGTTCAACACTTTTGCACCAGTAAACAATTTAATCTCCATCGAATTACGTACCACACCGCAATGCTATAGAAGTGACGAGGGACTCTTGACTTGACTCTTGAGGTATCTTGACGCAAATTTTAAACGAAAATTGTTCGCTCAACACGCACAATTTTATAGTTGCGCTTTTGGTGATATGCGTTGCTCGCTGTTGCTGTTAATAATCAAAGACAATTTCGATAGTCGTTGTTGCTACTGTTGTCAAACGCCGTCACCTTTATTTGGAGAGAATATAAGTGGATAACGTCCTAATGTCAATGTCATAGTCGGAAGTCAAATGGTCGTCGGTGGTTTCGTATATGCATCGAAAATCTGCTACAGTTGCATATAAAATTATCGTAAACTTGTTGTCTCAAAGGGATGTCTACGGTACTTCGGCGTTGTGGTGCTACTATTGAGTATTACCTGTCAGGAGGAGATTTGAGTGTGCTTTGGATAATCTCACTTTTAAATTACTTTAACTTTCTTAGCTGCTGTACATTACAGCAGCGTAGTTTTTAAGTTCTATATATATATATATATATATGAACACGGTTGGCTTCTTCTTTTACAACTTTCCCTGAAATAAATTGTCAACGACTACTTTTGAAGTAACGAGCTCAAGGGATACCAGGGGGTTCTGCAATAGATGGCAATGTATACAATAAATATTGTGAGTTCCATGTGAGCATGAACTAGTCATCGAGTTAGATTTGGTCTTAGGGGGTTTTGTAGCACTTTCCGCTGATATTTTACCCGGAAAATTTGAAGCCAAACTGGAAGCCGTTCATTTGCGTGGTGCTAACTTCGATAGTTTTTAGCTAAACACTTGTTCTGATTTCAAGGCTGAATACATAAACAGCGCCAGATGTTTATTTGCCACATTTTTAGAATTGTTTGGCCAATCATGATTGGTCAAAAACTGAGCCGCTTCGCGCGCCATCTGTAATTCGGCGATTACCTCTTTCTCACGGGCCCCGTTGGAACCATCATTGTCACTGGAAAGACACTCAAGCACAAACAGCACATAAATATAACGCAGTAAACAGAAGTAGATCAGACCAAAATAAACCCATCCGGCGTATCGTTTGACGCATTATACGATGACCTTCTTGTCGCATCATTGAAGTTGATAGTAGCTCCTCAGTATTGAACTTATCCTGCTTGAAATGGCTTTAGCGAAAATAAAAGGTATCCATTATTTTTCATTGACTTGGCACATAATTTGACAGAATATTTATTAGTGTCAGTTTACTAATAGAGGTCGGTTGAATTCAGATATCTAAAATACGCTAAAAGAAGTGATCTTCTTTTTTAGACAGTTTAAAACTCTGTCATAAGTAGCGTGTTGTTTCATACTGAACTATATCCAACATTAAAGCTGGAAAATTTGCCGTATCTGGTTAATTTCCACGTACTTGTCGATGCGCTTTACAATATGGCGCGTTCAAACTGATGCGAGAAACAGTGGGTCGCTTTCGGAATTAGCGCGGTGCTTAACTGTTGACTTATTAAAACAGTAGTGACTGCTTTCCAGTTATATGGCTCCAAAGTCACGCATCTCAAGTAACGTAAGTCGCATCAGCATTGTTGTCATTTAAAAGCTGACATTTAACAGTAGTAGATATACTAAAGTTAGTTATTCAAATGAAAGATAAACGAAATTCCTGTAGAGATTTCATAAGGTTACCACAATAGAGGCACACGCACAACTGAAACAACAAGAGGATTGTGCTGTTTATGATCCAGGTGCGGGAAAAGCCGCTTAAAGGTGGTTGTGTTGTTTTTGGAAATTTTCCAACCATTCGCAGGAAGAGTGGATGAAATTATTGGAACGCCAAAGCAGACACGTCAATAACTAAGAAACTATATCGCCAAAGAACTAAACATCCACCACCAAATAAATTCAAGCCGTTTGACCAAAGCTGGCTACAAAAAAAGCTCGACGTTTGGGAGCTACACGTATTGACCCAAATGAATTAACTCTCCCAAATCGGGTCATTAAATGTCTAGAGCTGTTGACACTTTCCTGACAACTTAATATCATTCCACGCTCAACGAGTCCCGACAAAGTTAGAAATTCTCTCCTGTGGTGAGAAATCCGAGAAAGGCTTTCCTAGGGCAAACCGCAATCCTCAGTAGGGTTTAGATTTAAGAGCTCGAAAAGTTATAGAAATGGTTTACGAGGCCGTTTTTGATTGACCTAGGTTTCTGGTAGAGAAATTAACGGTTGTCTTATAAAAAAAACAGTATCAGCTGCCAATAAAACTTTAACATTCTTTTTTTTTTAGACCTCTTGTGCCTTTTTTAGCTTTTTATCTGTTCTCGGCCCTTGCATTCGTTTGACTTCTGGCTTACTGTCAACCCGAAATTTGTTTTTTTTTTTATATAGCGCGTCTAACCAACACTTTAATGAGTTGACATTTGGCAGTAGCGTTTGATGCACGCTTACTGTCATAAGCTATTTGCAAGTTTACTAAGGAGCTCTTCGAAAATGTTAGTAATACAAGTTTTAGGCCTCGAACCGCGATGGATAGCGATTATTTTTAGTAAACATGATTGTTGAGAAGGACATTTCCAAAACATGGAAGCAATGTTCTTGAAATTCCAGTTCTTGTTTTTGTTTGTGTTTAGCCTTAGAAACAAAGCATAAGGAGAATTCTAAATTTAAACGCCCCATTCTGTATATCTTGATTATATGGTTGCCATCCAAGGAGACTAAGATTTTCTTGTAGCAAAGGATTTTATCAACAAGTCATGCGACTACGAAAATGGAACGTTTGAGACTCAATTTTTGTCACATCTTTAAATATCATTATTGAAATAAAAAATCTTGAAACAAATTGAGATTAATTATGTATAAAATGGTATAATTAAGAGCTAGGACAGCTAAAGTGTCAGTCTATTTATTTCTTCGTGTTTGCACGTGTCGGCCTCAGAGTTTCAACCAGGCTATACTAATACACTATTCGTGTGTTAGCATGATGGTGCGAAAACCATGGCGTGATTACTGGAATTCCCGCCCGTTTTGTTGAAGCATGGAAAACATACACAGATTAAGGAGAGCATGCAAAAAAAAGTTAACACATTGGTGGAAGGTGATCACGTCTGGGCTCGACAATTTCGTCATTATCCAAACGTATAAAAATCCGAAACGAAAATTCAAAATCATGGAGTGATGAACGTACGCTTTGTTGCAAGTACTCCTGTCAGTGATATCACTGTGTAAAGCCAAAAGATTGGTGCTTGGAGCAGTGACTTTCACACAGTTCCTAAGTTCTGGTTGAAGAAAAAATTGATGACTGTCTTTCATTGATACTTTTTTTTTTTCTTTTTTCATATTGATACTTTCAAGAAAGTATCGCAATAATCGTTCAAATCGGTATCCAAAAATCTGTGATGGATCTTTGTCCCCGGTTTTTGTTGTACGTTAGCCTTTCATTGTTATTCTGAAGACCTCAATTTCAGTAACACAAAAGTGCTTCAGCACGATTATTTCAATATAAAGTACGTATGGGAGAAATAATCATTCTCTGCGGAGCACTTCGCTGGAGAAAATGTAAATTCAAATGAGAAAAGTTCACGCTGGACGGACTGAACTGCGATCAGCAGGGTTCAAGGGCATGAAACGAAAAAAAAATGTACAATAGGCCTTAGCACCATCAGAGTTTGGCCATACAGCGCCATTTTACGACAGAAGTAAACCCATCTGTTTGTTTCCTCATTTCGGACGACTTTTTGTTTTATCCTTATGACAGATGAAGTTGATCTGGACCTGGGCTAAGTAATCCGTTTAGTCATAACATCGTACAAAGACCTATTCAGATTCAGTTGGTTCAGCTAAACAATTTATTTGCCTTATTCAGTTCTGTGGTACGGGTAACCTATATTACTCCAGCCACAAAGTGACACTTGATTGCTCACTGCACAATCATATATTCGGAAGTTTCTTGAGACCTCTTTAATGGGAATTTGGTCAAGGCAATCCATGACTGTTTTATTGGCTTGGAGGGTGGCAAATGTTAGTTAGTGTTTGCCTCTTCTAATCGTTGGATAGTCAAAATGACATTTGATGATCAGCACCTGAGTTTTGACCTTTTCCTTATATCAGTTTTACGTTAGTGGGGACGTACGTCTACTGAACTTACATTATACTCTCGGCATATGATGATAATCATGTAAGCCAATTCACAAAATGTTAGCAATTAGTCGTACGAGACGAAACTTCCCGTAAAGAATCTACTCGGTGAAAAGATCTATTTTTTTTTTTTTTTTTTTTATCACTTTTGATTCGTCTTCCTACCTAAAGTTGCCTACCTAAAGTAATTGAATACATTATTAATACTCGCATCACAATATTATGAGTTTAATATTGCAGGTTCACTTATAGTCATGCTGTCCATTATAAAAAAAAGTTCCATTATTTAAGCGGCGCCTTGGATCTCTATGTACCTATATTTTTATTAGGTATATGTACATAAGTGGCAGTTATCTTAATTTATATTTCAGATGGTATCTCTCTTAGTCTCTCAGCTCATCGCCATTTTCGAACGTGTGTATGCATATTTCTATACCTATCCCTCTGCCTTTTATAATCACAATCAATATTATAAACAGTTTATTTGTGTTTATATATGGGCATGTGTACATTTGGCATCTATTTGTATGACGCGTGGAGGAGTACATAGGAGTCAAACACTGGCTGGAACTTAGGTCAGCTGAACTTACGCGGCGGCTTTTGCGTGTATGGAGTCATTATAAAGGGCGGCGGCAGGTGCTGAAGGAGCGGTGCCGGGTTCATTTGTAGCAACTGTGGCGCGGAAGCCGGCGACGTCAGCGATGTAATCGACGCGACGCGAGATCCCATGTGCGTCAGTGTATGAGTAAGACCCCTTCTTGAAATTGTTCACGTCACTTTGTTCCTGTCTGGATTGACGATTGCCGTACTTGTCAACTGACTGATATCCAAAGGAATAGGCTTGGGAGACGTGGATAGACTCGGAAGGTATAACAGTTACCTTGGGCGTAGCGGTAACTGGGGCCTGTTCAGCGATAGAGGCGGTAAATGCCGTCGCGGCAAGAGGGGAGGCTGACTGGTAGACAGATACAGGAACACGAGCCTTAGCATAAATGACCGACTGGGCATAACTGGGCACAGTTGGTGCGGCAAGCATCGTGGGGGCAGTCACTTGACTTACTGGTATAGCGGCCACTGCGGCAGGATAAGCGGTGTAAGCTGCCGCTCGAATCGGTGTCGAGGCGCTAAGAGCCAGTGGAGCCAAATGGGAGATACGAGCACCAAACGCTAATGGTGCGGGGGCAACGTTAGCTATTGGAACCGAGCAGGCATAGCCAAGAGCAGCTTCCGCGGCAGCTTTGGCGATGGGAACTGTGGGGCCGTATCGCAGTCTGGTTGGCACCGGGAACCGGGCTTCGACCGCTATGAATGCAAGTGCGCACGGAAACAGCATCTGCAATAATCGAATGAAAACACCAAGAACACAGAAGACAATATCACTCAAAAGACACACCGGTGAAAAGGCGAGAAGTGCCAAGTTACTAATCATCAAAATTATTAGGACAGTTATCTGGTCAGTAAGCAAAAAAAGACATGAAAATATATTCCTAAGTTCTACTTTTTTAAAGCAACTTTTTTTACAGTTTGAAACAACGCTGTCGATTGCGCGAAGTGTGTATCCAAATAGGCACAAAATCATTATGTTTGGCTTCTCTGTCAGTGGCGGCTGGAATGTGTTCAATGAAACATGCGTTACGTCAGCACATCTTGGTCATTCCTAAAACCATATTTGTATGTTACACTATCAAAAATCACTAGATCCACAGGGTGTTTCATCGCACCAGGGTACCATGATCGGTCTATGCCTTAGCAGGACACACACACCTTGCTGAACATTTTGAATAACAAAGTTTTAGCTTTTATTATTTTTTCGATCCTGATCGTCGGTGCAGCAATAGCAGATGTATCCTCCGCTTTACTCCGAACAAACTTTGACACATCAAAAGTTGTAACAAACGAAAACCGCTCTGGGAAAACCAGTGTCCTCAGAAGAAATTATGTTCAGACATTAAAGAAACTCCCTTAAGCACCGCTCTGAGGCACGTGTCGCATCCTTAGACACTGTTCGCAATATATATATATATATATATATTAACTTGTATCCTATGCGTCGTTGGTGCACGTGAAGTTGCGTCGTTCTTGTGTGCTGTTACGTTTTTGTCTTGTCGAACGGAGATGCCAATAGAATTAGTACTATTATCAGTGGTCGCGCTCGCTATGCAGTGGTCGCCAGGTACTTTGGCGCCGCAATTTGAGCGTCGGTTGTTGAGCTGTTTATTATAAACGGGCCCTCACTTCGCAGTCCCCACCCGCGCCGCTCTTTCGCACATTAATAGCACCGTCAAGTACCACTGCCGCCTGCCCCTAGGTCCTTAGCAGCTAATAGCAGCAATAACAGACGTTCGCCCCCTCGACCCCACGGAAGCAATTGGGCATGGGGCACTGGTGTACCAGCACTGTTGCATTGTTGAAGCCGCCGTCGAAGTGAGTGCCGCCCCTAACGTTATAGTTGTTATAGGGAAGCCAGTACGAACGGACGAACGGATTTTTATGCTGGTGTACTGGCGAGTCGTGGCCTTGCGATAGCGGCGGATGAGGGGGCGATGCTCCCTTTTTAAGCGGACCACAATGTTTCTGGACATCAGGACGATTGTGGCGGCGCTCCTGCTTATAATAATGTTGGTGTTTTTGCCACGCCTCTTCGGCATCAGCGGAAAAAGACGAAGAAAGCGAAAATAGACGGACAGATGCATCTATGGGCGGACTTATTGTAGTGCAGGGACAAAAAATAGAGTGGCATTTGACGCTAGGAGAAACCATTACTCATTTAATAGCCAATTGAGTATTGGCAATGTTTGACACTTTCTGGCTTTGTTGATGTTCATGAAGAGTTTAGTTATGTTCAAAAAGATATAAGGTGCATAGAGCGTGATATTTTCATAGCTGACGAAGAGAGAGTACCGATTGAGACTCATACTATGGCTAATGTCGTATCGGTTTCTGTGATATGGGTGGGTTATCGTTTAAAGCGCACAGCTTCCTACAGCCAAATTTTTTCTATCAGAATATCTACAATTTCTGACCGAGTGTCTTCAAGAGCAGTTGTAGAATAGAGCACTGTTTTTAGATGTACAAAGTACACATGAGCTTGTATAATTATCTCTAAGCGTATTGACACTGATGACTCGGTGACATTCGAAGGTTCTGCTAGTTTCAAGAAGAGTCACTATTAGGCAGAAGTTTAGGTTTTTTTGTACGCACACTTGCAGCACACTTGACTCCACTGTTTCTCATCGAGAAATGAAGCTAGCTTGTTTACTGTCACTTACCGAATAACAGTATCGTCTGTAAATATATTAACTAATTGCTTGTCAGTATAGGTTATGAGCGGAGACAGGACATCGGAACAATGTTAAAACCATATGCCTGGAGGCGATCATTTACTTAAAAACTATTTGCACAGAAGTGTGCCTGGAAGCGGGAAGTTCGGCAGTCTGCGCTAGGCGGTACTAGTTGATGCCACGGAGAGATGAACATTATTTTCGTGTGATGTCTTCAAATTTTATTATACAAATAGGTAATCAGCAGTACATTTGGCCCGAAGGGTTAGGCTACCTCTATTGGGGCCGTAAGTAAATGATTTCAAATTATAAAGAAGTTGCACTTCAATGTGCTTGAGCGTACCATTTGATAGAATGTCCAGGAGCACAATTGTGCTTCTTTTAAGCGGCTGGAAATTGAGGAGTTTGTTTTATTTCTCGACCGGCAATGGACATTTCAAACGATACCGGTTATACAGCGGCTTTATCTGGATGACTAATGGACGGCTGTTTGAATGTGTTAAGATAGTCAGCGTAGCTAACAGGCGCGCTGTTCAAATCTCACAGTTGACAAAAATCGGGCATTTATAGTTCGGATAATAAAAAATATTAAGGTAAGGTAGTGGTATTATAGTCATAAGCTGTTCATGTGGCTGTTTCATATGTCTGATGCAAAAATCCTAGTTAACTCGAACAAGACTCACTGAAAATTGGTGATCTCGAGACGATTTGAAAATAGAACACGGTTCCTAATAATCGATTCAAAGATTCTGTCAGGAGCCTTGTTTTCGTTTTACACTAACCGACGAGCACTCAATTCAAGAAGCTTCTCTAAAATCCGAACGAGCTATCGTAGACGAAAAACACTACCTTATATTATGCTGAAGTGGATCGCTTATTCCAGCTTTAGCAAACAATGAACACACAAAAGCTGCAGTTTATCATTATTGTGTGTCGCATTCGTTAACTTGAAGAATAAACTTATCGATGATTTACCATGATTCTGTTTAACCAAATGCGATCTTCAATTTGAATCTGGTACGATCAAAAAAACCTACTTGCCCCCACCGATCCTTTTTCAGGGCACAAGAGTGCTGTAACATTCACGTGTACACGCGAATCTTTGATGAAATCGGACGGAAATCGCCGACTTTTAGTGGCTGGTCAAGAACATGGTACTTACTGCTTACTCATATTGGCTATCGCTTTTCAACGACACGTCAACTTTAAGCGGGGCGAGGGCCCCGCTTAAACTTGGCCAAGTGTAATTTTGACGATTACCTGATGCTTTGATGGTTGTTGAATGAATCACTCAGAGGAGTAGGGCTGATTAGGACTGGCATTATTAAATAGCGAAGCGTAACTAACGCAGCGGCCTAATCAGTATTTGCTAAATAAACATTACGTTATAACATAGATCAGTTCGACTTCTGCAAACATTGTTTTCAGCTTGATATTCAATCAACGTACTATGCTATTATTACTCGCTGGCAAAAGTCGAAACTAGATTGCCTCGGAAGTACTGGAGGGGGGGGGGAGTACTGCATCTCAATTATCCTGACATAAGTGATTGATTAATTTAGCGGATTTATCGAGCGAAGCGGCACCGCAGATCCTGTCACTCTGACTAGACGGTGTCTATTGGTATGTCGCATCGATTGTCTCCGGAATGTTTGGTTGTTTCCTTTTACACGGATATTGTCCTCGGACGAAACAAAAAATGATTGATTTCTTTGATTAGTTTTACCAGTCAGAGAGATCTTGGCACGGCTATAACGATATCGTTTCGCCCGTATGCTGCTAATACTGCACGCGTACGATTCAATGGCTAGTAGACCCACTGTATCACAGAAAGCGATGACCTGTTTGTATTTCTTCAGGATGAATTGCTGCCCCGCGTCTTTTGACTGCCGTGAACCGAGCAATAAAAGCCTTCTCTTGGTACCTAAATTCGTGCGATTAGTTTAAAAAACGAGATGGATATAGCGGTTCCAATATCGATGTGGAATGAACATAAATCTATCTGTAATAAGTATGTTCTATACAAAATATGTTAATTCTTTCAAGCGACTGTACCCAGCAGAGCTACGGAACGTTCAATACAAACGGCATTGGGAAGTCACATAACTTACAGAATTTAAATCTGAAATCTTCCGAAGTATCTCGTCTAAAAAGGTAAATCTGAATGGGAATATTGTGTCTGCTGGCGCTGTATGAATGTCTTTCTCGTTTCTGTTTTCGGTGGTCCGGTTGAAGACGTGGTGTTTTTTCGCGGTGGTGAAATAGTTTGTGGGGTATCCGTTTATTTTATAAAACATCGTTTGATATCAATGTTTGGACATCACAGGATGATAATAATAAGTGCAATAACAGCAACCTCGGATTGCTCTTATTAAATACCATCGTCAAATGGCGAATCAACGTCATCTGTTTACTTTTGAAAACACCAATCAATTTCGTGATTCTTTTTTTGTTAAAGGAAAAATTGCAGGTGTACGAGAAATTTTTTCTGTGGAAATACTTCGCTACTGAGTAGTAAACATCGAGTAAATACTCAGATAATGAATATGTCGCACAACTTACGACACATCAGAGGTGATAGCAAATCGCTAGGTATACGGATGATCTTCGTAGGAAATAATTGGCGGTTTTTTACTTTTTGTTTATATTTGCTAGTATTGTAGGGTTTTTGGATACATATAATTACTATCATTGTCAAGGAAATCTTTTTCGTACTTCCGATAGCAAATAACGCCTCTGCACTAACCGTCAGCTCTACGTCCTGAATCAAAGGTGGCGTGCCGAGCGACATCGTTCAGTCGGCAGCGAAACGAATGTTGCCGGTCACTGATCAATTGAAATGTTTTTTTCAGGATTGGCTATGTAAAGCTGAATAATCGTATAGTGAATTAGATAGATCTTCAAGATTTTTACATATATCGTCGGCGTTGCCTCGAAAACAACTGGTCCACATTTACCGCCAGTAAACGCCAGTGACTTTTGCAATGATTGTGCACGTACGTTTCCAATAGGGGAAATAGGTACTCGATCGCGTTCGCCGAAAACACTTGTTTATATGCCGCTGAACGCTGTTTATACAGCTGTTACTAACCGAATTATTGTTTTTGGAGTTCTGCATGATTAATATGAAAACGGATTCAAAGCATGACGAAAGGAAAAATCCGTGCATGCTTTGCCCCCATGCTTGGAGGTAAAACGATGGTAATGCTAGTTATTGTTTATTGTAAGGGATCACCATAAAATCATTCCGACACATCATAGAAGCCTATATTTTGTTGTTCGCACCAGGCCATGATGACGCTTAACAGCAGCTATCACCGAATTCGTCGTAACGCTGAGTATACTGTTAACTAAGTAGAATATCCAGCTACGTGCATGGGGCTTTTCTGTCAATCTTATTATCGCAGATTGAATCATCAGTGGGCTGCACATTCAACTTCATTGGGTTGATGGAGAATGAAAGAAAACAAAACAGTATTGTCATTTCTATTGCTAAGGGTTAGACGTTAGAAAACCGAAATATTGAAGCACTTTACTTGGACACAAACATGTACTTTGTGTCATAATAGAACATTTGCTTAGTTAGAAGCAATTGCAGTTAATAAAGTTAAAAAGTATAAGGTTATTATGAATAACCGTTGCAGCAGGTACAATGCTCTAGTTGTCTGCTCACTCGAAGAGTTACATTATATAGCGTAAGTGACGAATGACAATATGTTGTTGTTGTTGTTGTTGTGACAAAGGGGTAATATCGTCTAAGCTATTAACATAACACTCAGGACATGCAACCCGTATATATCATCAGCAGGCATGTTCTATGCCCCTTCAGCGTTATCTACCCGAACGATAAGGCAATGGAAACATGCCCGTCTACTGACTCTGGTGACATATTATGATACAATGTACAATCAATACATAGTTTTACGCTGTTAGTAATTTATTTGTCAAGTTATTTCGCGCACATGTGATGATGCTCAAGTTACTCCCGATGTTAAGCTCAGTCAAAATTGCTCCGTCGTCATATAATTTCTGGCAAAGTTCATCGCGACTGGGTATGCATCTATATTTGGCAAATGAATTAAGCACTTCAGCGTGCAAGAAAAAAATGGTATGTATTATAGAATACAAAGCTAATATGGCTCATGTCATGTCAAATATACGAATTAAAGTTAAGTTTAGCGGTCATCATAGCACTTACATTGCTAGTGAAGGCTTTTATTGGAACGAAATGATTGTTTATTATATTATTCCAATAGAGAAATCCATGAAGCCAGTTAACCTTGAATTTAACAGCTTTTTCAAGTGTTATCTAACCCAATAGTCCAGGTCACGCCGCCGTTTTTCGGTCGGGTTTCGATCGACGGGCTACGCTGACATGTTATCAATATTTAAGCATACTGTATATTTTCATCCATTTAACTATCGATGCTGACGCTGTTTTATATACAGGACGTACCAAATTAGAGCAAACGCTGAATACAACAGCGTGGAATCGTTGTAACAGAGCAAAAAAATTGGCTTTGGACAAGCTGTCAGTAGGCCCCATGTTTGACTGTGACGGAAATCGGCACGGATGATGTGGATAGCAAGTTGGAAAACTTTCTAAGTTTTCCTTACTTTAAGTCACCTTACTTTGGTTCAACGAGCTTCGTACAAACGGAAAAGCCAACCGGATACAATAATAACAGCGTTTCTGTTTTTGTCATCATATTGTTCATCGGTGACTTGACAGGCGAGTGCTACTATGATGAGATTAACATTTATCACGTTGATAAATCCAGTTCATAATGCAACCCCGGTCAGAATAATTGTCTGCCAAAGTGTCGATCCCGCCTCAATATCGACTAATGACGTCGTGCAAAGGTCGTATTGCACGTTGTTTACGCGCAAAACAACGCAAATACAATGTACCGTCCAATAGATTGTGCACAGCACGTGCTTGCTGAAGCCTGAAATAGAGCGGTTTATAAATAAAGCGTTTTAAAGGGAGGCTCACGGTCAACGTCGCGTCGAAGGCCGCATCGCAGAAACGCAGTGTTGTGGGATATTTCACGGCTTTTTACATCGATCTAACTAAGCAGTGGCATGAAGCAAAGGAACGGAGTTTCCGTAGTTCCGTCAAAGCAGACGCAGCTATCCGCACAGTCAGTCCCTTATGAACGCTCACTTGAAGCAAGTGACCAATCCAGCTCAATCTCTTATTAGATGCAATGTTTTCGTCTCTTTTTCGTGTTTTTATCTGTGTACAGTTAAACATCGGCTAAGGCAGTAACGATATCGACACCAGCTGTCAGATGGTGCTGTAAATGCTACAGGCTAGTGGTAGTAATGTCGCATTTTAGATGTTGCAAAACTTCGATGATGTGTGTATACGCAATTACCTTACGGTCCTTTTTGCTCTAAGGAAAACCACTGTTCGTTTGCAGTACCACGCGTCTCATGGTGGCGAAGGGCGGAGCAGACAGAGACAGAGTCCATTGGCCTTGTTCGCTTCTTTCTGCGAGACAGCAGTCGATGGTCATTGGTATCATATAATAGAGATTTCAGGAGTGAGTTACTACAAAGATTGATTTTCGTAATTGTACTTCAGAGAATACTGTCGTCGGCTGCCCTATATGAAGCTCAGGAAGATTTGAAACTGTCCGGTTCGATTACATGGCCTAGTATCGTTGTTTGTTTACGCGACCGGCACAGAATATATTATCGTCCCGAGTTATTAGTACCGCACATGTACGCGATACAAAAGTAGTATAAACATAACAGGCAGCCGGTTGACAAGAGACATTAATGTCTGCAGTAAAAGCAGCAATAAATCTTCGACAAGGACGATCCAAATCGCACTCGTTGCTCGCACGTGATTCGCACAAATCCTCTGGTGTTACCGTATGAACTTCCGCATCTTGGTGATTAGGAAGAGCCACTACAACTTGAACTAAATATATATATATATGTATATATATATATATATATTAGTACGTAGCGCAAGCGATTCTATCAGACCATTGCTCCAACAGTAAATAGTTTAGCAGGAGCAACTGCTCTCGAGAACTCCATGTCACCATACTCAAAGTACATACAATTTTAACATTCAACTTGAGCTCCTTTCGTATCGTACAAGGTTAGCATGTAACAAACGAAGCTTAGCTGTCACTCCGTAAATAAGTAGCTAAATATAATAAAAACTAAGCATCCTATATGTACGACTGACTATATCGGTGGTCAGCGATGTAGCAGCGCTCGTTCGGGCTTATCTTGCGTTTAGTAAGTATTAAATGAATATTATCGTAATGCTAGCGATGTCTTGTGCGGTCTTCTTGAGTCTAAAATTGAATTAACCGTCGGACCCATTTTTTTGCCCATAACCACTATCCATTTCAGAATAGCGGCAATTTTCTTCCACGAAAACAACTTTTGCTGTGGTTGCGCACGATGGCATTTCATTGGCAATCAGTTCTGCTTATGGTGCTCAGTTACCACGTATTGAAGACTCGATTATAAAAACGGGTCCTGTTGATTTTCGAGGCAAAATGTTTCAAATGTAGGAATAAGTATGTACAATTCTAAGATAGAGCAATGCCTTACATTGTGAAATTATACATATGTAATGATGGATTATAGCATTCTTATAATTGGAAAATATTCTTGACGCTGCGAGGACTGTTTGGTAGTAATGTGGACGCGTTGGGAGGACAGGGGAGAAGTATGAAGCGCTTTGATTAATGCAGAACTGCAACAGATTTACGTTTCTGCATGGATGTATACATTTATACATCACTATTGAAATGACGACAGAAAATGTCGACTCTGTCAGTCCGGTATGTTTGCTTGTTGTGGCCGGGTTCATCGCAGTACTATGTTACATAGAAGCAGCTGCCTATTAAAAGTAAAACATACACTTGAATAAATTAGACGATGATTTGGTATTTCAACAGGAATAGACCAGGAACTCAGCAGCTTTCTTCTCTAGACAATAGGCCTATTGCCTCAAAATGAGGGATTCCTTCGACCACCATATTTAACGATTTATTTGTAGTATTGCGTGCGCTGTATGATATATGAAGATTTTATGGATTATACGACTATTGCGGACCGCCGATTATTGTATTAGTATAAGTTTTTGTATTGAAATCCAGTGAAGTCATCCATAGGTGAGGTTACGACACTTGTTTGTCATGTTATTGTCTCTCTTGATAAATTCCAAAAGTTTCGCATGTGAAGTTTCGCGTCTGGAGCGGGTAGAATGTGAAACAGTAACTATTCGATTATACAAAACCATGTTCACTTATGGGGTTTATAGAACATCCGATGATGAGCACGTAGAACAAGCGTTACATCTGCAAATTCTAACGGGGGTCACTGGCTGATCCAACGTTTTACTGACTACTCCAGATCGCCTCGCATCCGTCAACGACGAGAGCACAGCGGCTAAACACAAAAAATCCACTGAAAAGCAGAAAAACCTGCTAATATTCATATCGTACTTGCTGACCTCATCCACGTTTGTTCGAGGAAGCCAATCAAGTAAACATTTTACATGCGAAATTTTTGGAATTTTGACAAGATGGTTATCTATAGTTGTGTGGTACGTAGCTTTGTTGGTAACATCGTTATGAAGTTAATTACTGGCTAGTTACATTATAACTATCGGGTTCAATATAGCATTTCTACTACACAAATTTAAGTACCCAGAAAATATATGAAATTTTCATTTAAATTATAGCTCTCGTAGCACTTTCCATTGTGGCTCTATTTCAGAATCGAAAGATTCCTCTATTCACTCCGTCGTGCAGTCAGCATCAAATCCAAGTTTGCCTATTCATGTAGGGCCACAGGCCATCTCTTCGAATATTTGCCATTATATCTACCTCAAAATACCATCAGAAAAGGGGTAGACCGTCTCTAGTAGACCACTGGGAAAACTGAGAAGACTCGTTGCAGGCTTTATGCATTATATATTTTATGAATACGTATCTGTCGACACCCTGTTACCTAATCATAACAATTGGTCATAGCACCCCTGACATAACACTTCCGTCTGCTTAAGCAATGGAACAGAATACCGCTATTGCTGTTGCCTTTAGGAACAAATAGTGGCTTTGTGGCCGCAGTATTGAGTCGGGCTAGCATCGAGTCCCTATAAACCATTCTATATCTAGTTATGTGTGCATCTTCGTGTCTTCTGGTTCAAAATGGAATGAAGTACAACACAAAATTGTCGGTTCACGCACCTTTTGGTCGCTAGTATGATGATGATAATAATAACAATGATGATGATGGTGGTGGTGGTGGTGGTGGCGTTGCTGTCGCATTCGCCTCCAGCTGTCAGCGATAGAAATTAGTAGCAACCTCAACTGTTAAATACGGCCGGCTGTATGACTGTTGTTGTCCGTATCTAATGATCGTCTGCTGTGCAGCTGCTACGCGTTCGTACGGGTTCTGTCCGAGCGAACATTTTCTGAACTAGCCGCGTACGCCGCGGGCGTATCCGGTCTGAATAGATCGACTTGCGTACACCATGTCCTGCGGGAAAGCGTTATCGGTGCAGATGTTTATAGCCTCTATTCTACCTCTGCTAACTGTCATTGCCACACTACAGCTCTCAATTCCTGCTCAGAATCTGTCGAATAAAAATACCTTGGCCGGACGCACGGGGTTATCCTAATGCTGGCTACTTGCCTATTCATACGTGTGTCTGCGTATAATATAATAATAATGAATGAAGCTTGCGGTGCGACTCAATTACAATAGTCAGTAGCAATCGCGTATTACCATTATCGAACAGGTACAATTTCTTTCATATCGAGCACCTTGACACCCATCGCGATTCTGTGACTCCGCCTTCTGATTCTGAATCGCTTTATCCTTAGGAGTCCTTCGTTCTCAACAAGTAATGGTGTGGAATTTTCTGTAGGGCTTTCATCTAACGAAAGTTCAGTAAAATTGTCACGACCGGCTGTAAGTTCTTCTGGCGATGAATTCAGAATATCCTTAACATACATTTTTTTCAGGTACTTATGTAAGTAGTAGGATATGATTCAACTGAACCAAAGATTCGCTTTAACTGTAAAAATTCGCGAATTTCTATTTTCATTGTAGCCTTGCGACGAGACTACGCAGTATGGAGGTGTTTTCGATGCAGTTTGTATTATGAGCATTATGGTTACCGCTTAAACATTCAGCTATGATCATTGTGATCGTAAATTAAGTGTATATATATTTACAGCTGTTATCCAAAATCTATTTTGCAAATCCTTGATCGGTTCCTTGTTTGTTTAGCGCATCGTGGCCATCCTTTTCAAGCATAAATTACTGGTCCTAATGCAGCAAGTTCCAGAACTAACCCTAGTGAGCGTAAGCAACTTGGCGCAAGTTACTGATGTATTTAGGTAATCACGTTTTCTAACAAACGATCCTGCTATGATCTTGAGTCATGTTTTCGTATATGAAAAAAGCTTCTCTTAACGAAAAAATCAATAATTTTTTTGAAATCTAGAAGTAAAGTATTTTTTTGTTATAAAAACTATACCAATTAAACAAGCTGTTCCAAGTTAGACATGTGCTTAAATTCGGTGTTGCAACCTTTTCTGGAAGATCTACATTGGTCAGAAAAGGGACCATGTTTATTGATGAACTGCTCGGAGAATTTACGTTTGGCAATTATGAGCAGCTCCTATTCAGGGCCAGCGGAAGTGCCCCTAAGGCTTAAATATTCATAGTTATTATAGGCATTCGGGAGAATTGCCCAGAGCCACTGTGGTGCACCGGGCTACCAAAATGGTAATGATAAAACCAGTTGCTACGATGATAGTCCATGTGTGGAGCTAGGTCATCATATAGGTTTCTTGCATAGACGTACTCTGCAAGTTGATCTATTCCTGTTATCACGCCGATAGTGCTGATTACGCAGGGTAACCTATCTAAATATTACTGCGCAGCACGTTAGGGTCACAATCGCCTTTATCTGCATTTAATACGTGTTGCCAGGACAGCCTTAACCGTTCTTTAGATTGCTATGTCTTGAACCATTCAGGCTCGTACTTCTGCTTGAAACATCGGCTTCTAGGCCACGATTACCCTAATGATCCCGTTTAACAGACGCTAAATAAATACGCTTACCAACTAATATAGCTGACAGTATAATAATTCTTCTGGTTTCATTGGATTATTTAGAACATTTATAGCGGCATGGCCGCAGTCTCATAGCGAACTATTTTACAATTAAGATTCATAAGGGGCGTATGAACCATGATCTCGACGAGCATAAAAAGGACGAGTACATGTACGCGAGGGGTCAGTTCAGAGAGCTAACGAACGATAACTTCGCTCTGAGGTGGGAGATACAATACGTACATCTACACTTCGTTTATGACGAGAAGCTGCGACATCTGTTTGTCAAAAGCACTTGGCCGGCATTAATTACTGCCTTATATTCGAAACTTGCTAATTCCTCTACTCGTGAATAAAGCATCAATTAATGCATATGGTCCTAAAGCTTTTTTTTGGCGGGAAACATGACAGCTTAAAAAAATCAGGCCACTAACGAGCATATTCGTGATTTAATTCTTTCTGCTTTTCACCTGTTGAACACGTGAGGCAGTGTCCCGAGCAACTTAGATTCATTTTAAACATGGGATTTAATGTACGAGCGACGATCCTTCTTGGTGAACCTAGTCCCACTACGACGTACAAGGTGGCGGTTTTCTTCTGGGGGCCATCTTACATATGTTCATGCAGGTACCTATCGGACCGAACCTCTAGCGATAATTTGATCGCTGATAGTGCTAATTCTAAAATGTTTAGAAACACCTTGTGGCTGACAATGAGCTGCGACAGCCATGGTGACTGGTCATTCATCGATTCACTATTCCTTGTCCGGAAATCTACCTAGATCGAAGCCTCCTTTCCATCTACTTCAATGGTAACTTATTCTATAATAAACTGCTTTCTCCGTTGTGGCCACCTTGTCTGAAGCATTTCGTTCGCTATACTTCATCGCGAGCAATTTTACGAAGCGGTATATATTGGCGTGACCGACCTACACCGGCTATTGTACGTCGTCGTGTTACAGCTCACTCATGCGTACTGACCCATTAAACTGATCTTAGCGCTATTTGTTATAGCTTCGCGTTTTTTTTTTCTTCTTTTTTAAATTGGTGATTGTAAAGGTAGCGTTTAGAAACAGCCGTAATAATAGATGACGTATCCAACGACAGAAGCACGAGCAGAACGACTGCTCTGGAGTGTTCGTTTAGTTATAGTGACCAACACATGAGTTTCCTTGCCCCCAGTTAATATTTGTAAAGGCGAAGTACGAAGCCATGTATTCATAGTGGTACACTGCTGACGTTGTTAATTGTTTGCCATGAATGACGTCCAATGATGGTTCGGTCCTCGCGTTCATAGTATTTCGCCTACAGGGCTATCGTTCGTTGTTGATTTCGATCGATCTGATCGGGTCAGAATTAGATGTTCGTTACGGATAAGCACATTGCCAACTACTGAATTTTGCTGCTAGTTTAGAACAACGCAGAAAAGCTATCTGCCTTCAAGCACACCTCATCAGCACAGATTGATCCTAACAGGATTAGGCCACGTATCTCGGTATCGATAGAAGTATTCTTATTCAAATCGTTGCAGCTGCCATGCGCGGGACCTTACGCGAGAAATGAACAGAATATAGTTTCTTCTGTACAACGAGTACAGCTCTAAGGCGCTTTTGAGATCTGGATATTGCTCCTGCTGTGTCCTAACGTATCCACCATTCAGACGCGAATCGAAGCTACGAACAGTCATCATGACGGCGATTGGGTTCCAGAAGTGGGTTGAACAAAGTGGACACGTTGATAATGACCGTCGGGCAAAATTTACAATTGAATAGCCGCGAAAACTTTGCGATTTGCATTTCTGTATGCACATATTGGATTTGGTAGCATCGAGTACTAACAGTGTGAAAATGTTGGTGCAGTGACCGTTGATGGGCGACTATTGATAACAACACCGCTGGTGTACATACATCTTCAAAACGCATATACACAACTAATAGATAATAAGTTCATATAACGATCAATTTATTTCTACCAATAGTAACATTGAAGCATACTTATAGGATGTACCGCTAATGTGTACTCTTACAGATTGACGACTCATTGGGTTGGTAATTCTATGGTGTCTGCAGGTGTATTACTCGCAGCTGATAGTTGTTGTCGTTATATGTTATCATGTGCCTATGTCAGCTAGTAAACTGTCTCCATTCTAAGCCCAAAAAACATCTGATTGTAGATTAGTCAATCGACGTTTCTTTAAAGAGCGGTTTATAACCCTTCATCTCTAACCGCATTATATTATTTTACTACGCTTACTTACGTTTCACTACATCGAAAAGGGAAGCTGTACAACACAAACGGAAAATAACTTAATTGATGAACACCACGTTAAGTGGCTATAATTTGGGTCAATTGAAGATGAGCCTAGTTGTTCCCTAACTGACCCTTACAGATGAAGCGCGGGTATTTTACGAACTGTTAAATCTTAAACTCGAGACCTTAACTGCCGACCGAGCGAAATAGCATGCATTAAAATGGAAAAATTTATTTTCTCTATTTATACATATAGAGAAGATGACTAGGAAATAGTCCTCGACACACTATTGTAACCCAGACGTATCGCTAAACTCTGTCCCTAAGTCGTTTCGCTACCTAGAGCTACGAAGCGACAGTATCTGCTGCATAGTGATGTGTTGTTGCCTAATTTCGAAAAAAAAGGTTCTGTGTGTAGAATCATAAATGTACTCAGTCCCTTGCGCGGGTTTACTGCGCGTTGCCTGTCGTCACGATGAGAACCTGTTCATAGCAAGTCGGCAGTGTGCATCGGCATAGTCCTATTCACGATGTCCTTTGAAATAGCTAACGAACGGTTGCCAAATGTGGTGCTAGATCAAAGAAACTGATCTAAAGTGAGAAAGATTGAAGTTGGGTTCTCTAGGCATTCGTTGCGCATAGGGTGCAGATCATCGAGAGAACCCCGTGCGTTAATTGCTCGAAATATACCAACTACCCAATACAGAAGGCATCATTTTGCCCAATGGAACGAGAACGGAGTGCAGAGAGTGGATCATGTTTATATTTTTTCTTATTGTAAGTTTGTTGACACAAAGCCGCTTTCCAACCGTACCATTGCAATCCTTCATTGGCACTTTAGCCGGTTTCAGGGCATTCAGTCGCAGGGTAGCTAGTGCAAAGATTTACGGCTAGCTATTCTTGGCATTATATCGCCGCAAGAGTACCGTGAGTCCGCGTTTCTATTAACATCATGGCTGTTGTTTTGAATTGGAATACTTATTCGGTAGTATCTACAATTGTGACTTTGTCACTGCTATGCGCTTTTCAGCGACACACCTCGTTGATACTCGTGTGAGACTTCGGGAACTTAGCTCTCGGGACAAGGTCGATGTGCCAATTGATCATATTTTCGGGCCTAAGATAAAATTAACAACCATTCTATCGGTTGTTGTCCGTCGATGAGGACGAAACCAATGCTCCATGCATTGGCGAGGTTAAAAAGTCAAATATTTAGCTACTTTCAAATGACTGAACGAAATATGTTTCGGTCTTAATTGTAGATGAGGCGTTATAAGTTCTAGGTAGACTGGATAAAACTACTTCATATAGCTTGTAATAAACAAAACACTTCTTAAGGGTAAATCGATTTACGTAGTAAGAGGAGGCCCAGGGTCGCAGGAGAGCTGTCGAGATGAATTGATAATAAAAAAAAAATAAAAAGAACATAGTTACGAATTTGTTCGAGCGTAATCCGCTTACGTTAGCCTAATTAATGTCTGCTGTCCTTCTAAAACAGCCTACTATTTAATCAGAATATTACATGCATAAATCTCTGGAACTTAAATAATATTCACGCAATCCTTTGACATGATCACTCTGCATTCGCGGTTAGACACGCTAGATAATTTCGAATTATTTAAGAGAGCGTACACAAACCATTATGAAGTATATATAATTCATTTGTTGTTGCGTGCGCGTAGTGACGACCACTTTGCTGATTCAAATCAACTTAGTAATGGCCATTTGGTAACGATGCTTTGTTTATGTGTATATATATCGCTAGAACCACTAGCCTTTTTTCTATTGTGATTTGCTTTCTGGGGTCTAGATAGTGGCGACCGTCACGACGGACACGATGATTTACCAGAGAGCGTTCTAAACTAATAATACTGGCCATCGCAATCTATGTTCGATGCTTCAAATAATAGGCTAAAAAGAAAGCAGCAGACATTGGTTACGGAATAACTGGGGCTCGTAGTTCTGGTTCTAAATAGAAAAATCCCATGAGTAGCGATGAGCATCTGCTATTCGAGACCTCGTCCTATTACCGCTGACTGCAACTATTTTAATGATAATTTTTAGATGACGAACCCTACACGGACGTATAATCCATCAGCGCACATGATCAGCGGCGCTCTAGCCGGCGCCTTAGCGTCAGCTGCCACGACGCCACTGGACGTATGTAAGACCTTGCTCAACACTCAGGAAGAGAGCGTCGTGCGTGCGACTAATCAGCATCGAATTCGAGGCTTCTTACACGCCGCTTTCACAATCTATACGTGCTGTGGGCCTACCGGCTTCTTCCGGGTGAGTGCGATGGTTAAGGATTAGCGAGACCTGTGTGCCGAAGCACTCATCCACCTAAGTTTCTATGTAATATTGGATGATGCACCTCTGTTCAGAACCTAAAACTAGTGTTTCGTAGGAAAGATTCGATGCCTAGCTTCTAATATCGTTGGGCTGCCTAAACCTAGTCTAATAATAACGGTATTCGCTGGCGTACAATGAGGCAAGGCGATAGTGGTCACATGGGTATTACTGGGTGCATTGTTGTGCACAACTAGCAATGGTAACAACGCAGGTGACGTTTTAGGCACCTCTTAAACTGTCATACTAAACAGAATTATGTACTATATTACAATAGCAGTGCTAACTTGTGGATTCTGCTGCACCCCATATATGCATCGAACCTCCGGCAGGGAGTACAAGCCCGCATATTATATCAGATGCCATCGACTGCTATTGCGTGGTCTGTATATGAGCTATTCAAATTTCTTCTTTACGAACGGAAGCATCACGTTGTCTCGATGCCTGTTGTAACGGTAAAAGCAGGAGTGGAACCTGCTACAACCGCTGCAGCAGCAGCGCTGGTCGAGGTAGGTGCCAAGAATCGTCGTGCACATGCATGTTACTCAAAAATACAGATCTTACCCATATGCCCATTTACCCAACACAAGGTAATAGTAATAACACAGTCAGTCGTCTGTTGTTCCCGAGTGCGCGATCTTCATCGCTTCCAAGATAAAATTCACCCACTGCTCGTCTCGATTTATTGCTAGGCGTTTCGCAAACTTGAGCCAAGTTACGTCAGTAACACTTATGACAGCCACAACGAATAACGCGCGAATTTTTCAACACATTTTGTTGTTTATAAGGAACAGAGACTACATTCATATATTTTCAGGCGGCTTTTTCTTGCATTGCGTAACATAAATCGGATAAGTCGATTGTTCTATATTGTATTGTTGTTACGTTACAGTCCTACCCCAAACCAGCCATTGTTTATGGTAGGTTTTTGAGTACCTATGGAAACCTAGCAAAGATTCTGCTGCTTTCTTTTTTACATTTAGATTTTAATAATGCACGCCTTAATTTTATTGGGGAATTGTGCATGTTGGCTATGAGGATTGTGCCGTGAATGAACAGAAATTTCCGCCCCTTCACATCCCCTTTTATTTATTCTTGAAATATCTATGTTTTCTAAAAAAATCAAAATTGAACTAATGCACTAGTCACTATTTTTCAGTCATTTGTCACGAATCTGTCACAGGTTAGTCACAGTATCATTTGTTACGTGCGAGGGCATATACGCGATGGGGCTATGATGTGATATAGTTTGTGTATTAGTTAATTTTAATAGGCCGCTAGGTAAAATACGAAAAAATGATAAGCTGGAAAATCTCAAATCAAGCTTTGACAGGTAGTAAAATTGCATACGATGATATTAGGAGGAAAATCTATGCCCTAATCTATATTAGCTCAACGAGAATAGTTTTAAGAGAGCGCGTAACTATTGACCTGTGATGATTTATGCTTTCATGATGTTCATCTTCCTTTACGCGGTAGAAAATATATCTGGTATCGGTAAAGGTATAGTCTTGTATGGACTACGTAATCTCGCTAGGGCACGCTTATGTAAAAGTCGAGTACGCTCACTGTATTTGCAGTCAGAATCAGAGGACTTTCTCTAATACTTCGTAAACTTGGTTTCGCGTGAACGTCTATCAAATGAATTAGCTTGATCTTCTCTGGTTACTCATGTTTTAGCTCCTGATCTTCAAAACTTGAAAATTCACACGCTTGAGGCTAGATGTCTGTTTGCCACATATATCACATCATTCTGAAGACGTTTGGCTGCTTTCACACACACACTGCCTCGTATTCTGTACCTGTTATAATCGAAATCGATTTAAGTTAGAGTGCCTAACATATGTTGAAATCTTATAGAAGACTTCATTTAACAAAGCAATACTCATTTTGGCTCTTGTTTTCTTTCTTTTGCTGTTTTCTTTTCGGCGTGTCTTCTTCTGGGATAATCACCTGTTGTTTGAAACTATCACAGTAGTTTCAGACTAGTAAGGAGGACGTGGCCGTGGGTCTGTAGGAGAACCGCCTTGGAGTATTCCGTTTGACCTGGTGTGTGCCTATGTTGTTTCCAAAACAGGACCGTCAAGCAAGTTCCTTAAAGGAAGATGGCCAACGTGAAATTTAACAGTCGTCATTATCAGGAAAATGATATATACAGCAAATCCACCCATCAATTGTAAAAATATCAACAACAGTACACGGAGCGCATGGCGACCGTCCGACTACGTGTGTGATGAGCAAGATTCTATCACAGCAACAACATTAACGACGCCGACGATCAGATTAAAGGTGGTATATCGGATATAGAAGAAGTTTACATAAATGGAACAAGTTGCAAAACAGGGAGCAAGAGAGAGAGAGAGCGAGAGAGAGAGTGTGTATGTGTGCGCGCGTGAAAGATACGGGGCAGAATGCCCAGAAGACCTCATCTTTATCTGCCAGCAATGAGTGAGTACGTTAGTGCGAAAGGCTGAGCCCAAGAAACAATGAGAAAGGTACTGATTCTGTTGCTATACCTTATATGAGGCGAGATGATCTCCTGGCAAAAAGCTTCCCTGGGTAACGATGAGGTTCCAATGCGTCTGATATATCCCTACCATCACACGCCCGTTCGTGGCATGAAGAAAATCGAAGAGTGTTCCCCGACAACATCAGTCGTCTAGCGATATTACTAACTACCATGTATATATATATATATATATACATGGTAGTTAGTATATATATATATATATATATATATATATATATATGGTATGATGAATTATAATAGCAAAACCAGCGTGTGAAGGAGAATAAAAATCAACTGCGACCTTTGTATTTGTCCCGTTCGTACGCTGAGGATAGTGTAATGAAACAGCATGCTTCCTGTGGCGATGACGTTAAACGGGCCGACTGGTCTGCGATGTCGTCTCCATAGACAAAAACAATGGGAGATAAACAGACGATGATTGACGAAGTCTTTTAGTCGATAGCACAAGTTAGATTTTTTGTCAACGGGAGTAGCGGTGGATATTTTGAAGTTTGAAAAAAACAGATGGACAAAGAACGCTATTAGGTAGGTGATACTGTTTAGATGTAATGATCAACTCCAATACGTCAATAGCATGTTGAGAACGTTATGGCAGTGCACATACTAATCTACAAAAATATAGACAGCAAATGAACTCACGGATCATCATCAGAGGATACCGGGCAGCAGAAATTTATCCCGATAGTCGGATTCGAGTGCATCAAGAGGTGTTTGCAGAAACAGCAAAAGTATCAACAGTCATGTGGCCTTTTATATATATATATATACGTGTATGTATGAATGGGCTATCTATAATATATACCTATTCAATATGCCGCGATAGATTTGCTTACGGAACCGGCTACTATTAAAGTGCTTTCACTAAGTGGTATTAGACAAAGATGATGGCAATGTGGGTGATAAGACTGAAGTAGGAGGGTCTGACCACAACAGGTATCACGACGAATAAACTGAGATTGTGGCTTGGAATCATTCGTGAAACTATCGAGATGTTCGTCAGCGGCGGATGACGGGATCACCCGTTGTATTGTAGTTAGACCTACGAGGCCTTCGAGACCCACTTTCTCGAGAGCAATTGAGCGGCCCGACGAGTTTTTCTATTTAGCGCAATGAATTTTACGTAGGCAAAGATCGTTAGAATGATGGCTTCACGTCTGTTTACTTTTCTGCTTCTAGCAGCTCCCATATACACGCACGCTAACAGGCACGAATGCATACACACGACACTCATGGTTTTGTACACGCGCTGGTGATATATAAATGATCGCTATTAGATGACAGCTATAGTAGCAGAGCATCAGGTTTTTCCGATAATAAGCAAAGGATGAGAAAACAAAAAAAAAAAGCGAATGTTATATGCTTGCGGATCGGCCGAAGGTCACTCGCTTGGATTTCGTCTAATGTCGATAGGTAAAGGATGACGATTTAGAAGACAAGATGACGATGGGTCATAATAATAATTATTATTATTATATCGATGAAACGGGTAAAAGGAATGGGGCTACGGTATCGTATACATTAAATTTACTCTACTTTCAAAAATACGATAGAAAAATATTCAATGATTTTTTGACGCTTAGCCGCATTTGGCTTCATTGGCCGCAATCATATCTATTGTTATTTAGGGGTAGGAGACCGATGGAAAGGATGATTGAACAGCTTACGTCTATTGAATATGGCTGAGGATTTGGTTGTTAAAGAAATAGTTAAACGAGTTTGTGAGGAAAGGAAAAGAACAATGTTCGTTAGGCGTTGCCAGTCTTACAGTTGTTAGTGGCCAAATGATCGGCGCCCAACGAGCGGAAGACACAGTCACATAGCTACCATATTTATTTCGTTAAAATTACGTTATTGTCCCTATGGTTTTCATCTATTCTTAGTGGATGAAGGTAGCTGTTAAGTATTGGCTGGTAATAACCTCTTTAAAGCTATGCAATCCGCGACAAAACATTGAGGTGGTGGCGCTATAATCGACAACAGTACCACTTAGCATGGAAGCCTACGGAGAACATTGGAACCTTGCTTTACGAGAAAAACGTGTATGAAGAATTTATATATTTTTTATTGTTTTCATTTTTTGAGATTCCGTATTCAAAGCAGGGATAAACATCAACTATCTAAATAGAAGGAAATACATGCTTTTATTTGAAAAGTGCAGTAACCAACAACGACGATTGTAACGGAGACGTTTTATTGTCTTAATGATTTCTACCCATTAAATAGCGAAGTGCTGATTGTAGTGGACATCGGGAAGTCGTAACCTGTGCTTCAGCTGTTTGCCAATGTCATTAATTTAGCTGTTGTGCTAAGCCGTAGCCCCGCGATTCTAGTAGGCTCCCATCACCTACGACTCGTGTCAAAAGGTTTTTTCGCAAAAAAAAGTGAAACACATGTCAGGAGTTTCCATACACATGGTTGTAGCAATTGCGAATTGTTAACGCACGCATATGTATTTCGAAAATGACCAGTGACTGCTTTAGGCTGAATGAAGAAGGATGCCTCGGGCCCAGCGGGGCCAAGGCATATCAGACGTGGTCGAGGTAAAGAAACCCGAACTGAGATCAGCTATCGTTAAACCTACAGTGCGGTTCAGATGTAGCTATGTGATTTTAGATGTTTTATATTCCGAAGAGGAAACTGCTCGCAAAATAACTTGGAACATCATGGGCGCTGTAAATTGCGGCACAGGTTATAATTATATCTTCCCTAAAATTTCGACTCCATGTCGCTGAGTCCACTACGGTGAAAGTACGTACGTATTTGCAGTGAGAACAAAAATTATATATTGATTAATATAATCAGATTATTGCATTCAACTCAATGAGCATGGATATTAGATGAACATGTACATTTCTGCGACGCGAACGAACGAGGGAAATTATTGATTATAGAAGATCAGGCAACTACAAAGTAATGCGAGTGTTAGGTGATTGAACACCAACCATGATAAACCATGAAGATGTCGAAAGGTCGAATGAGGTTTGAGAAAGAGAAGACAGAACCCCCAAGAGTTAAGATAAATGGATAAGGCTTTTTCCCAATGCGTTATTATTAAGAGTAACCCTACGACGAAGTATAAGTGAAGTGA